TAGAATTTTATAGCAAGTATTATTGAATATTGTATTTTGGTGCTCTTTTAACTTAATAGGAATAAAATCCAAACTTATTTTTTAATAATATATTAAATACAATTAAAAATTTATTGTATCCTAAATATTGATATCAAAAATATATTTTATTAATTTAAAAAAAACTAATAAAGATATTTATATAGTCTGATATTTTATACAATGTTTAAATTATTTTCTTTTATATCTATAATTATTTAAAGACCTAATTTAAGTTTACAAAGACTAATAAATTTTAATAGAAAAAATATATTTAGAGTATATTTTAATTTTATTTAATTTTTTTGTTTTGTAGATCAATAAAGATTTTATAATACTCAAAATGGATTTTTACTAATAAGATAAAAAAAAACTATGTCTTAAAATTATTTCTATTAAAAAAAATTATTTGATATGATTTATTAGACTAGGCTAAATTCTAGTATTTTGATAAAAAAAAAAAAAAACAAAACAAAACAAAACAAAACAAAACAAAAAACAAACTATTTTATTTTCCATAATAAATTGTTACAAAAGATGGTGTAATATGTCTTTGTTCTAATCCCAAAGCAAGTTTCTAATTAAATGTTCCAATATTAATAAAAGCTTACTTGTTTCTCAAGATGATTGAATCAAACCAGAATGTGGCTTGTTAATATTAGCAAATAAATTAGAACATTGTTTAAAGCTTGCTATTAGTAGCTACATTAAAATTTTAAATATAACAAAAGTTCCAATAATATTTGCTAACACAACAAGTGTATAAGTGTACAAGAAAAGAAAAAAAAAGAAAAAAAAAAGAAAAACTCAAAAGATAATTGAAGGAAATTGGTATGTGTTTCTAAAATTGCAATTAATTTTTGATTGGTTATTATTATTGCAATTAGCTTGTACAATGGTGGAAGTGCCTTTGCAATAATAATAATAAAAAAAAAGAGTAAGACATGTAGCTCCCATTAAAAAAAATACTTCATTTTTGTAATTATATATTAACAAATGTCAACCAATCCAAGATTAAATTCAAATGGCAGATGAAACTCATTTACCATGAATTAGAAAAAGAGATTATAAAAGACAATCCAACCAATGTTTTGTTAGTAAAAACAAATTCTAAACTCTAACTAAATAATGTTTATATTGTATCATAAATGTTTTAGTACTTGATTTATATATTTATTTATTGATTGATTACAGAGGCTAACAAAAATACACCAATTTTAATGATACAAATGTGGCCATGCCAACTGCTTAGAGGTTGAGTTGTTATGAGACAAAGCAGTATTTGGTGATACAGCTGCTTGTCTTATCTTCACAACCATTGATAGGCCACACTAAAATAAATTAAAAATTAAAAATTAAAAAAAAAAAAGGCTGATGCTGGGTCCCTCTAATAACCCACCAACTAACCATGTATTCTAACCCAACTTGGTTCTTCTAAAGCTATACTGTGTGTTCCACTTGCTTAATATGATTAAAGAGTGGACCATCACCGTTTCGTATTTACAAACAAGGGGAACCAGGACCATAGTTTGAGGGACCCACCTCATACGGGACTTCAGACATCTTCAAAAAAATAAATAAATCCTAGAATCAAAGTGTTCAAGTGTTTCATGAACAAGCTCCATATGCTTGTAACATAACATTTCTACTGAGCTTCAAATTTATCTCTTGCTCATGTGCTACATATCAAAACTGTTTACTGCTGACAGCAGCAGCAACTGCAATTGATGCTAAGACGGCGCTTCAATGCAAGGTTACATAAGAAAACTTGAGCATTGTTTTAAGACTCCACAAGATAACGGAAAGGGAATCCTTTCTGAGCACGTGCACACAGGTCTTGGAAGTGATAGTCACATGGAATGAAGTAAATGTGAGGAGACAATTGTAGGGTTGCGGAATGCTAACATGGCGTGCATCATCAGTAGAAATTCTTATGACTTTTGTGGTTATATGTATGCAATTGTGTACACACTCAATGAAACTGAGAAGTTTATAACAAGGTTACCGCTCTTTGTTCCTGGAGTTGAATGCAGATAGGTCTACCTGTCCCGAGAAGCGGTGTGGGACAAGTCTTCTTACTCCGAAAATTGAAATTTATGCATCATAGTTGAATTCCAAATCGGTTACAATCTGACACAGATTGATTTCTTTGGACATGACTGCAGAGAGTGAAGAAACTAGCTTGGGTTGAGGCTGTTGATAACAGATCAAAGGGGGATGTTATAGTGTGAGACTTACAGTACTGTCGTGCAATGGAAACGTAGGAAAAAAAGAACCATCAATCGATTATAGAATTCGAATCAGTTAAACGCTTCAAGTTCGGATATTAAACTAGCAATTCAATGCCCCATTTTAAGGTAAACCTTTCTTGGCTGTTCTGCAGTTATGCTGATGTTTATACAGCGTGGGTTGCCGATTTTGGCGGGCATTCAACTTTTGTGCACTTCCAGTCACAAGTTCAGGTCCAGTACTATTCCTTCTTTCAATGTAACATATACAAAATTACACATCCAGGAAAGCAAGCATGCTGGTATAAATACAAGCATGATATCAATAGTCTGTGCTACACTTCACCACTTACTGAAATGTCACAAATATTCCACATGGCATATTCAGGTTTTCTTTTCTGATGCACTCATGTGCAACCACGGTGCTTACGTTTCGAGTCTCTTATTTGTTTCCTGCATTACTCCATCACCACAACGACGTGCGTCGGACGGAAGAGATGCGAAAGCACGGCAGTGTGTTCATCACCAACACGCCAACGACCAACCACACAAACTGCAAAAATCAGCACTCCAGATGTTCGACGCCGGTGGGATCGTCCGATCAAGTATCAGTCTCTACCTGATGCGATTCTCAGCAACGCACGATTTTGTGAGCCACACGACGCTCTCTAGATTCTCATGAAGAAGTCCTCACGGCCCTGCAGCATTACAAAAACACACCACAATCAAGGTCATTAAACGAAGCCACAATGAACCACTTCCATGCAACTAGTACTAGTACTAGTCATCACCCAGCTCACAAGTCCTGGCACCAAAAACTCACCGAGACAGTCGTCTTTGTCGTGGTCTGATGTCGATGCGCATCGGTTTCATCACCAGCCAAGATGCATTGCAAGGATGCTATCAACCACTATTGAACCCCCCCCCAGGGATATGGCATGCGTGCCGGAATGAACCTTCTTGTTTCCGTGAACACATGCGTCTAGAAAGCTCATCAGTGTGCCGGAATAAGCTAGATAGGTGAACTTGGCTTCAGTCCTTGATTCTGATGCGTTCTTATGGGACTAGTTACACAGATATTCATGATCCAGGCCCGATCTTGTGAGTCTGGATGCACAAGATTGTTGTCCTGGGTCAGATCTTGTGGCTCAAGATGCACAAGATTTTAGGTCTGGTTTGGACCTTGTGCATCAAATCGGAGAGTGAGTGGAAACCTGATCTAAGATTCAACTGATAGTTGAACTTGCATTGCAGTTGATGAGGTTTTGCAGACGTGGCTTGTTGAAGCAAAATCAGTCTGGAATGAATTTGATGCGTGTGAAGTTGAGTGAAGTTTAATGCCCAAGATGTGCATTCTGGTTGACCCTAATGGTCGATATTGTTTTTTAATGAAATTTTTAGGCATTAATTTTCTTCCAACAAAAAATTTGAGATTTAAAGATGGACGTTGAACATGCGGTTTGAAGTGACGTGGAGTTCTTGATTGTGTTGAGTTATTGTGACCAAAGTTGTGGTGGATCTAAACCAAAGTAAGTTTGATATTATGAAATATATAAAATCTCTTCTTTTTTTTTTCTTTTTTTTAATAAAAATAAATCTATATAATCATCAGTTGATACTGTTAGGAGAATGTATGAGTGAACAGAAAATTATGCCTTGTGGTTTTTATGTAGCGTTTGTCAACCAATAATTTGAATTGTTTTTTAATTATTAAAAAAAAAATTAGTTTAAGTTTTTTTTTTAATGATTTATATTGGAACTTTCAAATTTGTACAATGTGTACTTGCATTCTAGTAACCTTTGTACGTACCATACTTACTTGTTTTTAAAGTAAGGAAAGACACCACTTTTTCTACCATTCACCTCCAGGAATAAGTACAATTATCAAGGAAACATGTTTGCTGCATTTTGATGGGAAATCGACTAGCCTGTCGCAAGTCGGCAGTAATTTCTTTTTGGCAGCTGTGTCAAGAATCTACAACTGCAATATCCAGTCTTCATGAATAATATCGCCTGGTTTCATTTCCACAATTCCCCACCGCCCTTGCCGTTCTACCTCGCTTCTTTCGTAGATCTTACAGTTGATACGCTCGTGAACTCGACCTCGTACACATTACCCAAACGCCAAACCAATACACATTTTATCTCCCCTCTACACGAAGTTGCAAGATGAAAATGAAGCTGCGAGATAAAATGAAGAAGATGAAGCTGCGAGATGATTGTGAGAGGAAGAAGCTGCGCTCGAAGACATGGGCGTCCTCTACCGAAAAGGAGAATGTCGAATGCCACAGATCGTTGTTGCGCATTTGTCTGAAACCACGACTGCTGAGGATCTAAAGTTATTCCTTCGAGGAATGCATCGGAGCGGCCTGCCGGCTAAGGCAGACCTTGTGCTCCTCTTCCCGTGGCGACCCCTTCCCCGATTTTTTCCCAAAAGTTAATCGCGACGAGGAGAGATACTTTCAGGGATTGCTTGCGCAACATCATGAAGCAGAAGCTAGGAGGCCAACGGAGTCGGTTCACAAAACCAATCTCAGCATTTTCAACGGCGACGGGGGTTGGGAACAAGGAGAACGGGGATGGGGCTGGGAACGGGTACGGGGGAACAAGGGGGTACAGTTTAAACAGGTGGATCAATTTGACAAAAAATTGGGTCATTTTAAAATTTCCTATTTTTTTTTTAATATATACATATATATGGGATATTAAATATATCCACCATTGCAAATCCAATAGTAAAGAAATGAATCTGGAGGTTTTTTTTTTTTTTTTTTTTTTTTTTTCATGATATTTAGGATGGGTGGGTCAATTTAGTAGAAACTTGCATCTCTTTAACATTCCCATATTTATTTATAGACATATTACAGTACTCAAAATAATTTTCACCATATGATTTTCATTTGATATGAATTAGATGAATAGTTACATGTGACATTTAGTATAAATATTTGTCGAAATATCATAATCCAGTAACGAATTCAAATCTCTACCACAATTACTTAAAATAAGAAAAATTTGGATGTAAAAACACCTAAATTCCTGCATATCACAAATTCAGAACAAAAACAACTCACTTAGTTTGATAAATTTGGATAAACGACGACTCATTTAACATGTTTATAATTGGTATTGGATGATCTTTGTATGAGAAAAAGACGCCATGCAACATGTTTTTTGATGGAACATAAATAAGCACATATTTTGACCACTAGATATACAACAGTGTTTCAAGATTGCTCAATTGCTATTCTGAGGCATCATTAGCACTTTACTTACCAATTACAGATTATATATATATATATATGACAAACAAAAATAGTAAAAAGATAGAAACATACACAATTCTAAGTGTAACAAGCAGAACAAACACCACAATATACAAAAAATATTAATAAAAATGCCAATGAAAGCGTTAATAATGAATTGTGAAGATGCGCAAAGGTAATGAACATGAATCCAAAATAGTCAACAAAGAGGCACCATCCACACTTGGGTTATCGGAAGGGAGTGCAACAAGTTTTAGGGTGTGTGTTAAAAATGAAAAAGGAGTAAAGAATACAAAACATAGCAAACCAAGACAAAGAATCAACAAGCAAGTTAGTGAAGGACAAGAGAAAGAACCCAGATTCCAAGTCTCCATCCACTTGGCTCACTGCGATGGAGCTCTACCCTCGGCGATGAGGCACATCAACCTGGTTCCCTCGCAGCAGATGCGAAGCGATTGAGAGTCCATGGGCGCTTCACACAGTCACCAAAGAAAGAAAGCAAGAAAGTAGAGAGAGGAAGAGGAAGACGACGAAGACGAAGACGAAGACCCACCTCCTCCATGGATTCCATTGTCAGCGGCAACACGACAAGCACAGCAGTGAATGAAGGCAAAGCCACGAAAGGCTGACTGACCTCGGCCCAGCACTGTCGCAATGTGGACGCCCATTCATCATGTTGTCGCCGCAGCAACAACAGCCCATTTCAGAGGCCAAAAAGAGAAACACGAGAGGATGCAAGAAAACACGAGGAAGAAGCAGAAGAAGAAGAAGACTCTGCCAAACATCCACCCACCCACTCAACCCATTCACTCACTCACTCACCCACCAATCCACCCACTCCCCGCGTTGTCTTTGCCTTGCCTGTCTCTCTCCTCCTTGCTGCTGCTAATGCTGCTGCTACTACTAACATTACTGCTGCTGCTGCTGCTTCAGGCACGTCGCTGCTCGCAGCCCGCACTGTCAGTGCGCGCATTGAAGACGGACACCAGGCGTGGCCAAGGCCACCCCCACCCCCCGTCCCCGTTATCTCCGCACTCAACAACGCGAAACCCCAACACACACACACAAGAAAACGAGGGGATGGATGGATGGATGGATGGATGAATGAATGATGGACCTGCTTCACTCATTAATTGCGTGGGATTCTATATTACCCTTTCCCATTTGTGTATATATATATATATATATATGTGTGTGTTTGAGGATGAGGTATAGCGTGCATGTATTTTATTTTATTATTTTGTTTGTTTGTTTTATTTTTCTTCCTTTTGACCCCATTCTGGTAATGATATGGGCAATCATACTAGATGGAGTAATAATGTCACTCACTCACCACACACTAGTGGAGGGCTGAAGAAAGGAAAGGGTGTGAATGTGTGTGTGGATATGTTTCATTCCTGTGCCTCAGCTCCTCCTCCTTACCATGCAATCTTTTTTTGAGGATCTGGCATGCTTGGATTTCTCTTTACTGAGGTCAGAAGAAAAACCAAAACTAGGTTTGGCAATACAACATCATTTCACTATTCATTCATTATTATTGAACTTTGTGTATTTTTGTGTATTAAATATATAAATACTTATATGTAGAGAGAGATTAGTAGAAACTTGTGCCATTGGCCATAAAAAATATTTACTAAAAATTACAATCGATAGCTAGAAATCTTGTAGTGCTACTCTTGGTGATTTGCAACAATAATATGCAGATTTTGATCTCTGATTGATCAAAAGTTAAATTATTGTTTCACTTTTACTTTATTTTTTTATGAAAACAATATATATATAATATTATATATATACATATTATATATATATATATAAATGATTATATATAATATGTTTGTATTAAATACATAAAAACTTATAAAAAATAAGACACATTAAATTCTAATGTACATTACATATTGGTTTCTAGTAGAATACAAAAAATCAACAAAACAACTTATGATATTTATGTTTATATATATATATATATATATATATATATAAAATTTAAAATCAAACTTTATGAATAAATATAAATATATATATATATAAAGTGTGTGATTGAATAAGGTAACATAGCCACTTTGTGCTATGTTATTGAATGTTGCACTTTTATATTAATAGCTTTAACACTTTACATAAGAATGTACTGTGTAATGTTTCTACCATAAGTTTAAGCTGTCATTTTTATTTTAAATAATATAAATATTAATTCCAATAAATTAAAATAAAAAATATAATGAAAAATGCATAAAATGCATGTATAAAAGTAATAAAAATTATATTGTTTAGACACAGATAAACCAAATGCAATATATATACACACACACACACATATATATATATATATATATATACGCACACATACATGCACACATATGAATCATCATGTACAAAGCACCACCCAATTTCGAAATGTGAAGATTTAATTATGTAAATCACAAAACCTACTGAAAAAAGAGAAGAAAAACAACAACAAATGAAACGAAATGAAAAGAAAAATAAGACAATCTGTTCAATGCGCATGTTTGAAAATGAACAGAAAAGAAAGAAGGTCGAACCAATCCGACCAACGAATGCACTCCATTCATCCGCTTCCGAGTTATCGTTGACCCTGTGAAACGAAGGGTCGGTGTGAACGGGTCTCTCCGTCCCCGGTGACGGAAACGTGCCGGCCCGGCAGAAAGTCGGAGGCAGCATGTACGCATGAAAAAAGTAATGAATGAAAAACGTCAATGGATGATAACGGGGGTACTTAGTCCGGCCGACGCTGTAGGGGGCAGCCATGCACATGACTGACTGACCGACCGACCGCCGCTGTTGCTGCTTCTGCTGCTCGCTCTCCGCCTGCGCGCTTCGCATCCGCCCTCGCTGCGGCACCAGCACCAGCACCACCAAGGCACGCGAGGCTACATCACGTCAGTGCGCTGTGAACGGGGGATTTTGAGCCGGGGCAGGGGCTGTTGTTGGTCCCTGCAGCTTCATTCATTCATTCACTCACATACACACACTTACATAGATACACATACCCTCCCACCCACTCATCCACCCACTCATGCACCCACTCTTCCCGGCGCTGCATGTTATGATCCTCATCACCTGCTGTGACCAAACGCTCTCCCTGCTTCTGCTACTCCACAGATTGCATGTGTGCTTCTCGTGCGTGTCTCTCCTGCACCAAGAGCTAACCCCGTGAAACCGACGCCCTTGTCTGCTGGGTTATTTCCCCGCCCGTGAAGGTTGCGAGATTGGGTTGTGATCGCGTGGTGGTGTTCGTTGTGTGAAGTGTGACAACTTTCTTGTCCAGCGTATAGACTTTCGAAGTATGGCCATGGGTTTGGTGCATTTGTGCTTATTCTTAGCAATCTTGTCGTGTGTTGGTTATTGCATTTGCTTGTGTGGTGCTCTTAGGTTACCGAGTGATGTCCCCAAGCGAAGTTGGGGTAAACATTTTAAGTGAAAAAATGCAGGGTAAATGAAGCTCTTGTGATGAGCGTCGTGAATAGGACTTCTGGGTGCAGATCGAGACAGAAGAGGTGTAGCTCAGGATCAGGGTATTGAGATTGAGTATGTGCGAGCTATTAGTTTCGGGGTTCTGAAGCTGCCGCAGTCAGTGCAAGGGCGTTTAAGAATCAACGACGGCGTTCTTTTATCGCCATGTCAATTTGCACATGCTCTGCAATAATGATTTAGTAGTGGGGTTGAGCGTGGCCTAATCAGAGGACGGAATGGGCTTATTCCTTGTGCAGAACTATGGCAAAGTTCTCAGCCCAGATTGTGGTGGCGTTCATGGTGTTGTTGGCGCAACAAGTTCGTGCTGAAAGTGGATGGAACGAAGCTCATGCTACATTTTACGGTGGTAGCGATGCCGGTGGCACAACAGGTACTCGAGGCTCCACCATAGCCGAGTCCAAACTTGCAACTCGTTCACTTAACTCACTGCCCTAAGGTTGTGTAGTTAAGACATAAAGTGAATCTCTCCGGTTGTTCATTCAGGTGGTGCTTGCGGGTACGGAGATCTCTACAGCACTGGCTATGGCACCAGCACAGTCGCCATAAGCTCAGCTCTTTTCGACCGTGGCCTCGCATGCGGTGCGTGCTACCAGGTGAAGTGTGCGGGGAGTTCCTCCGAGTGCCGCTCTGACAGCCCAGCTATTCAAGTTACTGTCACCAACTTCTGCCCTCCTAATCCCTCCTTGCCTGAAGACAACGGCGGATGGTGCAACCTCCCTCTGCATCATTTCGACATGTCCATGCCTGCCTTCGAGCAAATCGCAACTTACAAGGCCGGCATTGTGCCTGTGATGTACCGAAGGTGTGCAGTTGTGATTTGCACGCTCATTGTCAGTTTTGGAATCCTCGAGAATTTTCCGACAGGTCGTGATTGTTAACTTGTGTGATGTTTTTGAAAATTTCAGGACTTCTTGTGTAAGGACTGGTGGCATTCACTTCACCATGAGCGGTCACAACTTCATGAACTTGGTGCTTGTCACCAACGTCGGAGGCATGGGGGACGTGCAATCCGTGTCCATTCGAGGTTCCAAAACTAGTTGGGTGACAATGACCAGGAACTTTGGGCAGATATGGCAGAGTACCGTCAACATGAGCGGCCAGAGCCTCTCCTTTATGGTGACGACTAGCGACGGCAAGACTGTGGTCTCCAACAACGTAGCGCCTCCCGATTGGGCGTTCGGCCAAACATACGAAGGATCGCAATTCTGACTCCAAATCAAAGACGTAGAATGTCTACTAAACCATTCCTGACTTGCATCAGCTCCATGTTCACTTGAACATTCAGGAGGATCAGTGCATTGGGTGAATTCATTTTTGAAGTTATTGAAGCAATGGGTGCCACATTGGCTAATGCGGTGTTAGAGCTATAGCCATCCATGGCCCACGGTGAGGATGCTAAGTACGGCAACCCAATGTGGTGGAGAATTATTAATATGTGTATATGCAGTAGACAGTCCAGATCTGAAGAAGAGTAGGAGCTTAGGTTATCTAGTCTGAGTGGCCGGTACAACACCCCTAAAATCGTTCAAGCTTGTACATTGTCGGTGTCTCTTTCCACTGTGGTCTTCACCTTTCCTTTCAATGCAACAGTTGAAACTAAGTCCCTTGTACTTAACGCGGTGCATTTGTATCCGTTGTGTTTCAGTGAATAATATCACGTTGTGAAGTGTGGATAGTAGAGATTTAACTCGTGCTCACATGTCAAATCTGTGATGCAGTTGAGGAAGTGCAGCTTGTGACACTGTTGAAATCAATGTTTTGTAATTAATGCCAAGCAGAGTCTAGTGGTGACTCGTGAACCTTGTGTGCTCATTTGAATGTGGACTAGGATTGGATATGAGGACCTATCCAGTTCAAGACCCGGCTCTCCTCGAAGCTGCAACTGAGCCGACAGGCCTTGGACATTGCTGGTCAACACTGTCACGCAAAGGCACCAACTTCTGTCTGAACAATTCTTCCAAACTCTTTTGCCAGAGGGTTTCGAAACGACGAAATCAGTTGGCTACCACCATGCCAGCTCTCTGTTGACATTGATGATCTCTCACCAAACATCGCCAAAAAAAGACAAGTTAGTGTCAACCACTTCCAACTGACAGCAGGTAGTTTATCTTAGAGTGTGGTCTGACAATAACCATGTTTTTTAAAAACGAAAGCAGCTGACAATGTTTTTCTTCTCCTTGTGATCATGAATACGAGCTGATGAATCTTCTTCAGTGTGCCGCAATTCACCTCCAGTGTCAGGTAATACCGGGAGCGGTGGGATCATGGATGGCATATAACTGCTGTTGGGAATCATACTTACCTACTACTTTTTTATTATCTTACAGCTGACTTCAGGTGCACCGACGAGGTGGCAAGCACGTATAGGTTCACAATCGTTACCTTACTCATCATGCTGAATCATCACCTCGTAAGGCTACCAGTGGCAAATAACACGGACATAAAACATCAGATTGCGGACGTAGAGCATGTAAAGCAGTACGAGAGACTCATCAGATTGCAACAGGTAGTTGGAGAATCTAGTCCTTATCGAAACAGACAACCATACACTGCAACTAACCACGCCGCTGGGCCTCTTGCCGTGTTTGCAACCCAGATTCCACGATGACCCAGGATTCTTAAGCGAAATTGCCTCTTCGATTGGACTCATAGTTCCAACTATGCAAACTCACCTCAAAAGCGACAGAATCTCGGCACTCAGAGATTGCGCCTGGCATCTGACATCAACCACGATAGAACCCCAGAAAGTTCTAGCGTCGACCGACCTCTGCGATTCCGCGGGTTAATTTGTATCAAAACCCACAAACAATGTCGCCGAGTACCCACACCGTTCAATTTGCATGACCCAATTTGTACCCAGTTCTCAATGAATTCAAATGCATTCAGATGTAGGTAACCCTCGGTAACATCGTCTTCAAGGTCATTTCACTCGCTAGATAATTTAAGATGATTCTGCAGCTTAGAAAGAAAAGGGACTGCTCTGAAATCTGGACATCTGTGGTCGATTTGAGGTGGTCGCCAATTGTGCAGGAAAAAAAAAAAAAACACTGACCAGTCGCTGTGAGTGGCAGAGGCTCACGCCCGCTTGTCCATGGCATTGGCCGCCACATCAGCTCTTTAAATACCGATCAACCAAAAACAGGAGCCAACAAGGACTGAGACACGTTATCTTCTTCCTCTCCCCCACATTGCGACATTTCCAAACGATGCTCGAGGCTCGATGTGAAACTTTCTGACAGAACGATTTAGGAGCCTAATGAATTAGTCGACTCTATTCGGTTTCAGCTTCCTGAAGATTTTGAGGTAGGTTCCTTGGAAACACAATTCGTTGGCTGTTTCTGTCTGAAAATTTGGATCTCGTGTGATCCGCTGGTCTGAGTTGGTCATCAACCTTCGTTTTAATTGGGTCCGGAGCATTGAAATGAATGCTTGAATTGTGAGGTGCGTGATTGTAAACTTCCACTGTCGGGTTTGAATCTCGTGATTAGATGTGTCTCGCTGTTGAGTTTTTCCTGTCTCTGGACATGGCCTGAGTCGCAATACGTGGAATTGTAAACGAAAATTGATGTACTTCTTTCTTTCGAGGGATTAGAGATACTTCTGGCAGTTGTTCTCAAATTGGTAATTGCATGGTGTCGATATTGCAGGACAACGATTTGAGGAACTTCAACCCCAAAAGATTTTCATTATCCCCAAAGTAAGTTTCAGCTTGTGGACAGTCATGGCGACAGCGACGGGGATGGCGAAGCTTCTACCATCCCCCACCCTCCCATTCACGAAAGTATTGCCTGGGTTAAATTCTTCGCCGTCAAATTCCCGCAAAATTTCTGCAACCAAAACGGTAAGAGCATCCTTGAGCAGTCGTGAAGATGAGGATGCGAACGAGCCTGTCGTTAAAAATAGAAGAGAGTTGATGAAGGGAGGTCTCGCATCTTTGGGACTACTCCTTCCTTCACTAACGCTTCAATCCGCAAAAGCTGCGGAAGAGTCTGAAGGAGTCGCATCCTCTCGCATGTCTTACTCACGGTTTTTGGAGTATCTTGACCAAGGACGTGTGAAGAAAGTAGATCTGTACGAGAATGGCACTATTGCCATAGTAGAGGCAGTCTCTCCGGAGCTTGGCAATCGTGTGCAACGGGTTAGAGTTCAACTCCCTGGTACAAGTCAAGAGCTCCTGGCAAAATTCCGAGCTAAGAACATCGACTTCGCAGCACACAGTCCCCAGGATGATCCAGGAAACTTGGTCTTGAACATCTTGAGTAACTTGGCCTTTCCTTTTATTCTGGTCGGCACTTTGTTTTTTCTCAACAGGAACCAAGGTGGACTCGGTGGACCTGGAGGGCCTGGCAATCCACTTGCGTTCGGCAAATCCAAGGCTAAATTCCAAATGGAGCCCAACACGGGTATCACTTTCCAAGATGTAGCTGGTGTGGATGAAGCCAAGCAAGACTTTGTGGAAGTAGTGGATTTCCTTAAGAGGCCCGAGCGGTTCACCTCTGTTGGTGCAAGAATCCCCAAGGGTGTGTTGCTGGTTGGTCCTCCTGGAACTGGAAAAACTCTCCTGGCTAAGGCCATCGCCGGAGAGGCGGGAGTTCCGTTCTTCTCAATTTCAGGTCCGTTGCCAATCCTGTCTACTAGAATAATCGACAGACGGTAATTGTCACCAATTGTATGTCTGTTTGCGGCCTCTGGTGTTCATTATTCGATTGATCGGTGCAGGTTCTGAATTCGTTGAGATGTTCGTGGGAGTTGGTGCATCACGAGTGCGTGACCTCTTCAAGAAAGCCAAAGAGAATGCTCCTTGCATTGTCTTTGTGGACGAGATAGATGCTGTCGGACGGCAAAGGGGTACTGGCATTGGTGGTGGAAATGACGAGCGAGAACAAACCTTGAACCAGCTCCTGACAGAAATGGATGGATTTGAGGGTAATACAGGTGTTATTGTAATTGCTGCAACCAATAGGGCTGATATACTTGATGCTGCTTTGCTGCGGCCCGGTCGCTTTGATCGTCAGGTTATACTATGTTCTGTGACACGATCTTTACCGTAGCTCTTTTTTTTCTCACTCGCCGAGTCTCCAATTTCTTTACGCTGAACTTTAGATCAGTGTGCCTGGAGTAGTATCAGAATACATGATGCAACTTCACATCGATGAAGGTAGTGTTAGTTTGTGCCAATGTAACGCCTTCTTCTGTCTCTCCTGTTCAGGTCACTGTGGATGTTCCTGACGTGAAGGGCAGGACGGACATTCTGAAGGTACATGCCAGCAACAAGAAATTCGACGATGATGTGTCTCTTGACATCATTGCCATGCGCACTCCAGGCTTCAGTGGAGCTGATCTCGCGAATCTTCTTAACGAAGCAGCAATATTAACTGGAAGAAGAGGAAAGACGGCCATTTCTGCTAAGGAAATCGACGACTCCATCGATAGGATCGTGGCTGGTATGGAAGGGACCATTATGACCGATGGAAAATCGAAGAGCCTCGTAGCTTATCATGAAGTTGGTCATGCCATTTGCGGGTACCCCTCATTCACCATCCAATTGCAACTGCAGCTGCTCTGGCATTTTCCCTCTTCCTGCAGTAAATGTCTGTGAGATGCTTTTATATCTAAGTCTAGTATCGATCAACTTTGTGTGGTGCAGGACCTTGACACCAGGGCATGATGCGGTGCAAAAGGTTACCCTTATTCCCAGGGGTCAAGCCCGTGGTCTCACCTGGTTTATCCCAGGCGACGACCCTACCCTTATTACCAAGCAACAAATCTTCGCTCGCATCGTTGGGGCTCTGGGTGGGCGCGCTGCAGAAGAAGTTATTTTCGGTGACGCTGAAGTGACCACTGGCGCTTCCAGTGATTTGCAGCAAGTCTCTTCCATGGCGAAGCAGGTAAGTGAATGCATTGATTGCATTTGGGAGCTTTGTCAACTTGTAGCGATAATTGTCTCGCAAACGATTCGGGCTTCCACAATTTCCTTGTTGATAATTGAATCAAGTCAACTGCTTCTGAAGCAAACAACCCCTTGGAACAGATGGTGACGGCCTACGGCATGTCTGACATCGGCCCGTGGGCACTGATGGACCCATCCGCACAAGGCGGCGACATGATCATGCGTATGATGGCTCGCAACCAGATGTCGGAGAAGCTGGCTCAGGATATCGATCGAGCTGTTAAGAGAATCTCCGACGAAGCTTACAATGTTGCTCTTAACCACATCAGGAACAACCGAACAGCTATCGACAAGATAGTGGAGGTGCTACTGGAGAAGGAAACTCTCAGTGGAGACGAATTCCGAGCCATTTTGTCTGAATTTACTGAGATTCCGTCTAGCAACTTGTCCAAGGATAATCAGTCCGAGCCTGTGGCTGTTTAAACCGAACCCAGCTCTATGGGAAGAGTTGATACTGGACACGCAGAAGTGTGTTGGCCTTATATTGTGATCTTGTCTAGAATGGAGATAGATGAGGAATCAATTATCAGTATGTTACGTTTGGGAGGAGCTGTACTGCTGCAACAACAGCCGATCTCTCTGCAAATAACATGAAGATATGTAATTACTTTTCTTTATACTACATACTTTGTTACATAGTAGGCATGTCAACGAGTCGAAATTTGGAACTTGCTTATTTCAAAAAGATTCAGTTGTTACTAGACTATGAACCAGGACTCGGTTTATATATGATGTTTAACCACGTCAATGCACACCTACTCGTTCTCTGACAAAATAACTCGTCCGATGTCAACCGAAACACAGACTCACGTGTCAAGTAAATGATACAACATTCCGCATCACAGTGTAATGCCAATCGCCACATTTGCGGAATGTGGTAATTACGCGCAATCCCGCATTCAGTTTCTCTGTCTAAATCCCTGTGCGTTTGAGAGTCTGGTGAGTATCTCTCCATCCTCAGTCGTCCTGATAAATCGCAGCACTTGAACTTTCGTAGTAGAACACAAAGACTGTAGAAATCTGAGCCTCAAATGAAACATATTTCGATATAAGCAAGCAAGAGATCAGGCAATGGCCAGCTGTTCTTTATTATCAAAACCAAGGTAGTTATCGAGATGTGTCGTCCTCACAAGCCCACCGCCTCTACTTTTAAGACTTGCAGAGTAATATGCTTGAGCACGAGAGATCTTTACTGTGGAATAGGAGCCGTAAGTATGATATTGCAGCTAAGACTCCCAAGCAAACCCAAAATTCTTCATAATCCTAACTCTGGGCAACTGCATCAGATATCCTCACTTCTTTGAGCTACATGGTTTTAAAGCATTGGATCTACGAGGAAGAGAACCCTGGAGCTATCCCTGATGATCAGTTTGAATTGCTGTAGATACCGTGAAAGAAAAGGTCTCCTTCAACACAAATTCGGCCCTCAGTGTCATGCTCTCTTTAACATATTCTCTAACATACTTTAAAGATCTCCTATGCAAGAGGTAAAATCTAGTGAAAGTAAAAATCAATGTATAGCGTCATTCGAATCATAGTCGTGATGCGTCCTGACCTATAGCTGAGGGTATAAGAGAAAGAAATTTTAATATATTAAGTTGAGAGAGCTGGACAATTTCGAAAAACATGCGTGTGCACTGCATGATAGACAGACCTGCGCGTAACAAGGCATAATGCATATGACGAGGAATAAACAGACCCATGATACCGCATCCCTACTTTCTACCTGAGGACGCTGTCCGCCTACTTACTTTCTGGATGAAATAATGGCAGGCGGAATTGATAATTCTCAATTTTCCGAAGCACCAAATTCACACTACACTATTCCCTCTATCAGAAGCTGCTCTTCGAGAGACTCATTATTTCCTCGATTTTCAGGAGAACCAACTTATTACTTGCAACTTCCAAAGTGAAAATTTAACCAAGTCGTATATCAAGAGTGTCATCACATAAATAACCATCCTCAACCCTAAACCTCCGTAGAGGGGAGAACAAATGCAGTGTCATAACATTTACAACTCGGAATGAAATATTAGAAGTATGAAAAACCACTGGTCTTCAGATGTCCAAGCGAATCTACTTTTTCTTGTCTCCCTTCTTGGATTTCACTCGAGAGTACGCAAAAACACCACACAAGGCCAATCCAGTTCCCAGGCCATTGACTGGCGAAACAGGAGTTCGGAAGAACAGAACCGAAGTCACAATAACAACCACCCGCTTCACACAATTTCCAACAGAATGCGTCACTGGGGTCACCTTCGCCAAAATCATGTATGACACCTGCTGATACGCGTGAAAGCACAGGCCAGCGATCAACGCCCTCGTTACAACGACCTTCACGTCTAGACCAGACGCTGCCAATGCGCTCGGTGTAAACTTCACACCCTCGACGAAGAAAGTCACTGGCAAAAGCAAGAAAAATGACATAACTGTGATGATCGAGAAAAGGTTGATATTATCGAGGGATCCCTCTTTCTTCACCATAAACTTTTTACTAAGGACATTTCTCGATTGAAATGTCACATTCGAGGCCATAGCGCTCAAAAAACCAGCCCAGTTAAAGGAAGCCTCCGTCAAAGAAGCTAACGCCACTCCTCCCACAATAGGTACTAATGTCGCCACAACCATAGGATTCGGCATGTCTCCCAAGAACAGAGCTGAAAGCAGAACGGAGAAGAACGGCTCCATAGCCTTGATGGTGTGAGTGAAAGAGACGGCAACCTTTCCCAGGCTCATATTAGTGAACAGGTTTCCTAGAGTGTGCACGCACGCCAAAGGCAGAATCAATTTGAGCTGCGCCAGGCTAATTTGCGGCCTCTTGTGCAATCCAGAAAACCACGTGAGGAGCGCAATCACAGCACCCACGGCGAATTGCAAACTCGTAATCGTGATCGGGTACGGGAACACTTTCAGCACCTGCTTGTTGTAGATGTTGAAGCAAATGTTAAACATATACCAAAGCCCGAACAGAGACCCGAGCTGGAGCGTTTCCGCGAGCTTTGACTCACGGGAAGGGACGCCACCCGCCTGCACTGACTCCAATCCACTGCCTGCGTCGGCCTCACCTCCCAACCCATCCGATGAACTAGACGCCGCACTACTAGCTTGCACATCAACACCACGCCTCCTGCGCCTCGCAACGTTAGGAACATCACCCTTCGCACTAACTAAAATCCGGTCAAGACATGGCAGAAAGGACGATCTCAACCCCCCGACGACGTTCAACTCCGACGACGACTTCACAACCAAATTCCGCCCACCGGCACTGGTACAGTGAAGACTACGAGGGAGAGAGGATCTCCCGAGGGCAGTACTCGTCAATGGCTTGTCTCCGCCGAGGAGGCGCATGGACTGCAAGCCCGCCATCGCCATAGCCGAGGACGCCGAGTGCTCCAACAGCAACAATACACACACGCTGCAGCCTCACTCAGCTCCCAAAGGCTGTGAAAAGACACTCCGAAGGCTTCTTCTTCTTCTTCTTCGACGGGGTTTGACCTAATTTCTAATTTCGGGGCATCCCCGTCCCGCGGGGCCACCTATTTTTAAAAACCTCCCACGGACCTTTACAGTGAAAGGTTGCGGGGACGCCTTTTTTATAACGAAACTACTTTTTGGCGTCGAGCGTTGTCCATGAAGAAAGGACCCCCCCCCCCTCATGTTATGGGGGTTAGTTGCATTGGCTTCAATGGATTTCTTTTTACTTTTTACTTTTTTCCTCCTTTTTTTTTCTTTCCTATGATGGAGAAGGTGTGTGTGAAATACGATTGGACCTTTGTAAAGATGCCCATCTTGATTTATTTATTTTTGTTTATATTATCATGATTTAGATTCTTTAAAGTTTTTTTTTTATTATTTATATTATCATGATTTAGATTCTTTAAAGTTTTATTTATTTTTATTTTTATTTTTGCGAATTTTACCCAATGAATGATTATACAACTTGGTGTTCACAACTTTTGGGTTTGGCTAGAAAGTACTCTGGTGGGAGAAGGGGGAATATTCTAACTAATATGCAAAATAAATAAATGTATATATCTATATATATTCAATCAATCAAGATGAAACACTTGAAACTAAATGAATAATTGATTACAGATATATTGCAAAGTTTCTCTCATTGCCATGACCAACTTTGAATTAAATAAATCAGTGAAAGACTTTGAAAGGATTTTGTGTGTGTGTGTGTGTATATATATATGTTTTCTTCAATTATACAAGGGTAATTACATGTGGTTTATATAAATGTATGTATATATTGTATGTTTTAGATATCCCCTATTATTTGTTATCCATAAAAATTGCTAAAAGTATTCAAAAACAAAAGAAGTGATTAGGTATTAATTTATATAATTTATTTAAATGTGTATATTCTATATTGATATGTTATCTTGTTAAGGTTTATTCTTTGCATTAAAAATTGGTAAGAATTGATCAAATTTAAAATAGTTTAAATTTAGATTTCGTCTCAACTTATTACATGATTCTATTATAGAACTAATTATAGAATTGGCTATGATTTGATTCAAAACTCAAATCTACTTTTAGATTAGAAGAATTTATGATTTTAAACACGATACAAAAAGTAATAAATATTTGAATAAAAACCAAGAACAAATGAATTTTATTAGAATTATGTCATTTACTTTTTAATATAGTTATATGTATTATCAAATGAATTGAAAAACATAAAACATTCATAAGCATCTTTCATTGATTTACTACCGTAATTGAGGATTGTCCAACAAAAGTCATCCAACTTAGAATCTTTCAATGACTAATGCAATACATCAACAGGCACCATTGCAATCAAAAAAATTATAAAAAAAAGTAACAAATCATAACCAATCCAGCAGTATTTCTTCAAATTAACATTACAAAAAACCACACCATAAAAAATTAATATTAGAAAGTGGTGCATGTAATATAACATTGTGAAGATGACATAATCCTTCGTATATATATATATATATATATATAGGTTTTTTTAAAATTGCTGATATCAGAAATACTTAAATAAAAATAAAAATAAAAATAAAATAAAAAAGTGTCTTCACAAATTTTGAGTTTTCAATGAAACAATCACTTTGTTATCAACAAACTTTCATTAAAACAATTTCTTTCATGGACCACTGTTTAAAATGGTCTAGATTAAATATCTACTCACAAATAGAATGTTTTGAAATATAAAATACTACTGATACATGTAATATATTAAAAAAAAAAAAAAAAAAAAAAAAAATCTGCTATTTCACAATATTCTTCCAACTATCTTTAAATATAAAACACGAAGATTCCATTTGAATCTCTGATGCTTAGATGTAAAAATTTAGTGATTTTTTTTTACTCTCATTTGTTGAATAAATTTCACAACCTCTCCAACTAATTTCATTTTGAACAGTCTTGGATACATTGAAACTAAAATCTAGTAATAAAAGCAACCTCTCCATTCACTATTGATTTTGCCTTCGTAGTTCATAACAAAAAACAAAAATACTGAAATATGTGATTTACTCAAATACTTGTTAAATAATATTTCAAAGAGTTCAAAGATATTAGAATATCAAGTGACAAAAGTTTTGGTGATTCTGCCCAAATACACCAATATATGTGAAGGGAGATAGCCAAATTCGACCTCAGATTTCTTTTTCCTATTGATTTTACAACGGAATAGAGTTGGATCTTCACATTCAACAAATTCGTCTACTTGCACTTAAGTTGAGAGAGGAAAAGAGGGTCAAAGAAAAGAGAAAAAATCATTGGGTGGAGTTTCAAAGTTGGCTGATTCCATGGGAAAGAAAAATGGTCATGTATCACCCAAAAATCCTGCACAGAGCTGTGCTCGTTCATTTCGCAGCATAGCGATCTCCATGCGAATGCTCTCATCGCCTTGACCGGCACCCTCTGCTATTGTCTGCTCCAACGTTGCAATTATGCGCTCTATGCTCTTAATCTGACAAAAGTCAAGCATGGAATCAGATCGCTAACCCATCCATTATTAAGACAGACCCACAAAAAGCCAATTTAAAATCCAAGTAAGCGATTGAACATCGCCAGTAGAGTAGAAATCTACGAGACTACAATGAACCCTCACAATCGTAGACGAGTAAGATGTCAGCAATGTATTGTTAAAGTTTATAAAGAGAGACGGCACCCTATCCATCGCAGTGCTTCATTGCGAGAATTGGGATTAATTGTAACAGTAGCATAAATACTACGTTGGACAAGATTCAAAAGATAAATTATGCTACACATGGAATAATTCAGAAATTGGTACTTCTCAATACTATACCCTGACCCAGTCATTATTGAATTGGTTTTGTTGGGGTTAAAGCGATAGGAATACATCTGAAAGGAAAGCTATCTCAATAGACCTGAATCTACGTTGTCCAAAACCATAACCTAAACTAATAGAAATCGGATTTGAAGATCTACAAGACAGAATTATTAAAAGAAACCTACGTATATGAGAACTTTCTAGTAGGAGGAATCTGACCTTGCGATGAGGCCATCGACGCATGCCATTACGCCGACATATTTTCTTCAGAACAGTAGGACAAATTCCTAGTTCTTTGGCAGCAGCATTGATTGGCAGATGAAAGTGCTGCGCCAAATCTGTCATTTTGAGTTTTCCCGTTCTCTCTCTCTGCAATTAAAGAATTGCTTGTCGGCACACATTGCAATGTAGAAATTTTCAAAGAGGAAAGAAGTGATGAGGTTCATACCAACATTTTAGATGCTCTAGTATCGTGCCACTTAAGTCAAAATATTGCTCACCTGCGCTGCAGCATTACTCTTGGGAGGCTTGGCTGGTCCAATTGTCATATCTGCGTTATCAGTGCTGTCTATGCTTCCACAATGGTGAAGCTTGTTCTGTCCAAGGCCACCTTTCCCATACGCACATCCGCTTTTGGAAAAGTCTACAACCAAAACCACAAATCAGGAACCTGTTTTTTGGTCAGCAGCATCCTCTATGAAGGCACCAATGTGGCTAAGACCCCAGATGTTGGCCTGAAGGGTGTCTGTTTGAATTACCAAGCCCAGCGATCTCATCTCGAATCATGATCATCAGCCAGAACTGAAATTTATCACAACACTTCCAGACAGAAATCGGGTGAACTAGAGATTCATAGCACAATTTTCCTGATCTCTCTCGACAAAGGTGCGTTTACAGGATAGCTATATGATATGAAGAAGAACCGAAGCGAAGGTAGACAGTTATGATCATGCAGAAAAACTAAATTGGGATAAAGGATAGGAAATCAGATATAGAGACAATTTCAACGTCATTCGAGTAAGTAATATCAAACTGACGACATTTTCTCAAAAAGCATGCGAGTTCCAGATTTTGCAGTCTTAAGTTCACATTACATCTAACGCTGATTGCAAGAACATGACTAAATCATCATCCAACAGAAAAAACACCTCACAATCATCACTGACTTCAATTATTTAGATTTTGAAACACGAAAATAGACCGTTTCTTACACACAGAATATTTAAAGTTAAGTAAAGACATGATAGAATATATGGGAGTGCCACTGCAAAGTACTTGCCATCAGCTAGATACAAGGCAAACAAGCTGAAGGCCAAGTACTGCTTGATGAGGCAAAAAAAATATGGAAGATCGGTGACAAGAATTTGTAGACAACAAAGGAGGACAAAAAAAGAAAATTGGAACACAGAAAAAATGAACAAGATAATAGATACATAGATCGAATCAAAAGGAAAAATACATGAATCAAGGCATCGTGAGTCTATGTAGAAATTGCACCTAGTAACCCAGAAAAATTACCAGAGGAAGTACAAAGAACGTCTGGGAGAATAATGTGTCCCATTGACTTCGGAAGACACCCCGAATTTGCACCCATCACCCGCTCTGACGACATGCCTATTCCAAGGCCTCCACTTGCATGCGAAGCCAAGGAGTCATGCCGAAGTACAAAACCTTCCTTTCTACGCAAAAGGCTATACTGTAACAGAAATTGCTTCACGTACTCGGCGTTCCCAACAGGAAACCTGCCACATTATCTAAAACTTAGCCAAGTCAAGCAGACTTTCTTGTGAGTAATACAGTAGTCATAATGACATATAGGCACTGCTAACATGGTCATGTGGGAGACTTTTGATGTGCACCAAATGGATGCACCAGTCACTCTCAGACACCAGCCATAATTTCTTGTACACCAGAGAAAATCAGGACAGAGTAACAAGTTTGATCTCGATGACTTGCATAATGGCCCAGAAAAACCTGTGGCAATGCACATTGTGCTGCAAGTGCATAGCATAACTATTTTAGTTGTTACAATAGGACTAGAAACTATGTTACAATCTTCGTTTTCAACGGTGTTTCTAGTGGTATTTGACTGAGATAATAACAAATGTCCGTATGAAAATCACCAAATCAGCAACTAACAACTCACTCAACCATCTGTTGCTCAAAAGATGCGGGAAAGCCATCGTCAATACAGAACCGAGTCTGCAGGACTGCATGATAGCTTTGGCCATCACATCCATGAATCTCAAGCTTTGTGTCTTGAACTCCTGACCCACATACCGTAATTTTTATTTTATTTTTCAGCAAATTATCACAAAGTTTGGATTTGAACCCTTTAAGAAAAAGAAAACAAAAAAAGAATACAAAAAAAAGACCATAAGTTAAAAAAAACTAGAGCGTGTCACGACACTTACTATTGTGCCAGCTTGAGGTTTCCAGGAAGAGCAATCTCTGCAGTGTTGACTCAACAATCTCACCATAAACATTCAAACTATCACTCGTCGCATTCGGCACTGCGTAATTTTCAACTAGAGGATGCACAAAATAGGATTGAGGCAACTATTTTTCTGTAAACTAAGCAGTCAAAACCACCTCACTGACTACAATGTCTGCTCTGCAGAACAAATCATTCAACATGTGCTGCTTAGCCAAAGGTCTGATGAGAAAGAATCGTTTCCAGATGATACAACCTTTGGTTCACTCCACTTTGCAGCACTACTACCTCTGGAAATATTAACCGTGCGGGAGTTTTAACACAATCTCACATTCTATTACCAGAATTAGCTGATGAGATTCTACTAATTCAGTTGTGAAGCAGCATTTTACATTGTGCCACAAAAAGAGCTGTTTCAACGGCATCTATCTGTTCTTACTTCAGAAAAGGAGTCAGGAAGTACCGTTTGAGTGGATAATACGGCGAAGAATCTGGCATGAAGCGCACTGAAATTGCTGATTGTGTGACTGTCCGAAGTTGGGCTGAATGAGGCCCTCCCGTGACATACCCCAGTCCAATGGTGCGCCACCACAATTAATAGGGTGTGTACCGTCGGAAGTTGAGGCCCCATGCTCCATACTTCCAAAAGCCCGATCTTCGACGTCAACAAGACCAACTAAATTCCCTACCATGTACGATCCTGCTGTGAAAATTGTGGGAGGGCAGGTCATGGAAGGAAGCCTACTTCCTGGCGAAGGGACATAAGATGGCACCTCCAGTTTCACAGGCGAAATGGGCGTATTGTTCATGTAGTTGTCATGCGAGCCGCTGAAGAGGGCAAATGAATCTTTCGCAAGATCAGCATCAATTTCATCAAAAGCGATCAACTCCCCATTCAAGGAATCATCTGCATATGCTATCTCTCCATCAATTCCCCTGCTATCAAACAACAAGGAACTGAAGTCTGATTCTGGGGCTCCTTCAGTCCTTCCAGACCTCCTGTTGTTGAAGGAGGGAAGGGGCGTTAACATATTGCAGGCGGGTGCTGGAGAATTGAATGTCGCAAAATTAAAGAACTGCTCTTCAGCATTGACGTCTTTTGGAGTCTTCAAAAACTCGTTGATATCGAAACGCGGACTGTGCGATGAATTAAGGACCACTCCTTCACAGGTAGGAGAGTCTAACTGCCCACTTGCCATTCTCGCATCAGTCACGAGCGGCGCTCAAATGATGATGCTCACGTCCTGCCTTAGCGATTCCAAAATGATACTTCCGTCATCACTCCAGTATGTCCCAATTTTTCGCCTCTCGGTAAGGGTGTTACACGTGAGTAAGACTTGCGAGGCTCGGAATCACGACAGAAGGCACTATCACCAGTGGACCTTCAGAGGACAGCATACTCCATTGCGATATTACAGAGATATATTTCAAATTCAGAATCCAGTCTCATTATAGTCGGTACGTCAGGGTATAAACGTGGAAAAAAATACTGGTACAAATGAAAGATGGCTACAAACTATAAGGTATACAAGCCCTGGACATGATAGAGATACAAATAGTGGATTTGAAAAATCATTTGAATGACATTCAAAAGATCTTTCCTACACAATTCTGGAATCCATGGAGGATTCAGCGAAAAAGAAAATATACATTAAGAAGCTGGACAGAGGCAAATAGGCTGAGGAGACAATCAGGTTATCAGAAAAAATTGTGTTGTGATTGATGAAGAATAACATTGAGCGGCACACAACACAAAGGATAGATCTGAATTTCATTCTAGAAAACTTCAGGGATGCGTTGAGCAACAGATGAATCGAAAATTTAAAGGGAGAAAGAAGTTTTGAAAGTATCACATCACAATATGATACACCATTTATGAAAAATTATAGATAATGCTGGAAATGGATGCCAGACATCGAACAAAGCACTCACAAATGAGGCACATCTCAGGATGGGCTAATAATACAGAATTTGAAAAGAGGAACCAAAAAATTCTACATCTAAAAAAATAAAAATAAAAATTGAAAAATCAAATCACAATCTTAGATGGACAGATCAGGTTATAAAATTCGACTTCACTAAGGGCATACGCATATGTCAGACTGAGTGGTAATGAAACAATAACACGCTCACGCCAACCTTGACCTTTCAATGAAGTAGTAATTCACTAAATTCGTGTTCATTTCCAAGACAACGGTTCCCAGAGGATGAGATTCAAATCTCCTCCTCTAGTAGGACCGACAAACTTGAGCATAATTTATCTTTCGAAGACGATGGCTGCATGGATCACCATCGCCCAGTTCCTCTGCTGGTTACATTACTCCCAAAAAACGGCCCGAACTACCCCGAGGCTTATATGAATGCCAGAAAAATGAACAAATGACATGTAAACCAAAAGCAGATGACCGATTCAAAACGAAAGAATACTGCAACAAAAGGGAAAGAAGATTCAATGATCGAGGGAGGTAAACAAAAGGAAAAGGGACAGAGAAGGGCAGGGCGGAGGCGGGGCTAGGCTGGCCATTGCATAGAGGGACGATGGGGCTGGGACTGGAAAAGGTATGTTGGAAGAAGAGTGGTAAGAAAGACAATGTAGAGGGGAAGGAAGGAGGATGCACGGTGGCATGGTATGACTGACACCTGATCTTTCGCTCTTAGATTATCATAAGCCTTGGCTTTGCGCGCGCTCTTGCTCTGTCCATGATCATCCTCCACTATGCATTAGGGCTTCTTCTTGCATCCCCCTATCTCCCTCTCTCTCTCTCTCTCTCTCTCTCTCTCTCCATCCTGTGCCTGTTTGTTTGTCAGCCGCCTTCACACCGACTCTCACCTTCTCCGGGAGCCTCACTCTCTCTCTTCTCCATGCAATGCCCTGCGCTCTTCTCCCACGCCTCGCCCCCTCGCACGCCAACCTACACCCCGAATAAAACTCTACCAAACCATTTGCCTCCTCCCCTTTCTTTCAACCGATTCCGGTTGCACCACGAGTCAACTTCCGCCGACACGATCCTAAACCTGCAGCGTATGTACCAGTTGCGCGCCATCGCTCCGCATTCAAAAACAACAAACTCTCAACATCTTTTTGGACGTTCTCCAGCTAATTCCCGCAAATGACATAAGAAACCCAGGCTGTTCACCACACGGGAAGAGTTGCCTTCCCTTCCTTCCGCTTCGCCATCCAAGTCATGAATGAATACGTGAGAATACGCACTCTTCATATCTCTCTCTTCGGCCCTCCGGACCTCATCCGATCGCACGATCGCTCGTCGAATGGCCTCGCCATTTCAACCGTCACCATGGAAATTCCGCCTCCAATTCTCTCAGCTCCTACCCTGCCGCACAATAGCAACCAAACCCATTCGGCGCACAATTTCTTGGTATGATCTACTCTGCACGACTCCACTGGCCCTCTCGAAGCATAGAATGCTCCTCCGGGGCTCCAGAAAGGCGGGCTCCCCGGCCCGCACATTCCATCGCATAATGTCCGAGTGCATGACATCATCCCCACGGGGTGCTCAATTCCACCACAGAATCGTCCTCCCACTTAGTTACCACCATGGGGTTAACTTCGGCCTTTTCTTTTTTTTTTCTTTTTTTTTTCTTACCAGGGGGGAGAAAAGTGGGTTGAAATCGCGTGTAATATTTATATACCATCTCCATGGCTTAGAAATAAATCCATGTTATGGAACAAATAAATAAATAAATAACAAAAAACTTGGATTCATTTTTTGCTTGAGTTTTTGTGGCATTGGATTGATGGGTTTTTTGTTCACTTTTAGTTTGTTCAGAAATTGACATTTGTAATAAATAAATGAGATGAAAATGTTGTTCGTGTTTTGCTAATGAAGTAATAATTTGGTGTTGTTGTTGCCACCATTTTCTTGGCATCATGGAATATATTGGGCTAGCAAACAAATGGTCATATGTTAGCTAGGTAGAATGATCCCCTTTTTTTTCTTTTTTTTTCTTTTTGTCTTTTGTTACAAATCATCATGAAATAGACTAAAATTGGTGAAAATTCTTCCAACCCCATGGGGTGCAGCAAAATGCGTAAGCAATTTATGAACTTAGATAAAGTAGTTGGTAAGTTAAAATTAAAATGATTGGACTATATATATATATATATATATATATATATGTGATTATTTTTATGATAAAGTCTTGCAATTGCAACATGTTTGCAAATTTTTTCATGATCATGCAAAAAATTTAGATAGTTCAGATAATAATATATACATTGTAATAAACAAAATTTATGTCTGTGATGACCTATTAATACACATAGTAGAATGCAATAATCACTGGGTTTATTTAAAGTTTTATTTCTAAAGTGAAAAAAAATCTATTTTCAGAAATGATATATAAATAATCTAAGATAAACAATTCTAACCGAAATTGTTTCATTTTTTAGCTATTCTAGGAATAGCAATATGATTTTTTGGCATCACCATGGTCTATTGAAAGAATTGCTGAGTCTAAAAGAATCCTATAGCTTTACTCATTATTAATTTTTTTTTAAGGGTTCAAATCTACATCGTCAAAAATTACAAAAACATATAATGAATTTTTTATTTTTTGCAATTGCATCATTTCAAATTTATAATTCTATCAAACAATGTACTCAACACTAGGGTCTGTTTATTGATGATTTTAACTTTTCTTTGTAATCAACCATTAGCAAATTATTTCAAAACCAACCGAAATTGTTTTTAATAATTTGTAGATTTTTAGCATCTTAATAATAAAAAAAAATATGGTTTTTTAAAAGCGATCATGAAACCAATTACAACTTACAACGTAGGTTTTCGAAATTAATTTTGTAATCAATATAGTAGATGTAAAACTTGTGAAAGAGTTTATAATACACACAACCAAATTATATATTCCACACTATCTCCAAGCTAAGATAAGTAGTCTATCAAACATCATTTTTAATATCATGGTGTTAGTTTTTTAAGATGCTCAAATGTTTTTAAAAATACATAAATGTCATATATAATGTATGTTGTTCGACAAAATACTTGCAAATATACTCAAAAAGAAACGAACAAAATTTTAAATCAAGTTAAATACAAAAATAAACATAAATGATTTTTCAATAACAAAATGCACTATTCTTCTTCTTCATCTTTCAAATAAAAAAACCTAAAAAAATCAATTTCATATCTATTGATTTGATTTATTACAGTTACTCTAAATGTATCATATGTTTAATATATTAAAACAGTTTATTAATTTTTTGGCGTCAACAAAAATACGTTAACTATTTTCAACCTCACAGATCGTTTTTATATAGTTCCAACTGCCATCTTTTTTTTCCCCTTTTTTTTTCGTAATTTCTTCTTGTAAAGTTTGAAACTTAATCAAAATAAATTCATTAAAAAGATCAACAAATTTTCAAAATTAAAATTATGAAAATTATCATAGAATAATTTTCATTTAAATGTCTTTTAATAAAAAAATAAACTAATGGTGAAGTTTGGAAAGTAATGGATATTTAATGCTATTATTTTCTTTAAATATACTGATAGTTTAATGTTATACCATTAATTAATTTCTTTTTCTTTTCCTTAATTTTTCCAATCACAATTATTTAAAATAGTTAACCTATCTTCAAAATTGTCCATTGAAATCTTTGTAAGATTTACAAGGGAAATAAATTAATGATAATAATAAAATTGATCCAAATTTTATATATACATATATATATATATATATATATATACACACACAACACCCCACAATAGGGAAATGGTAAATAGACCCAAGTTTTTACAAAATCAACCTACCCATCCTCACCATCATGAAATAAAATAACGACCTCTAGATTACTTTCTCTACTATTAGATAAGCAACCAATGAAAACCAACCACATCCATCATGATTTAGTAAAAGGATGGCTCTATTTAACATATGACAGCATGGGCAGAGTTCACCCATTGACGCGCGGCGACGGTAGTAGGCGGCAGGCGACGTTCCAGTGGAAAGATGGCACCGAAAGGAAAGGAAAAGAAGCGCTTGCGCGGAGCGAGAGGAGGCGCCGCGACGAGACGAGACGAGACAGGGAGATATGAAACAATGGCGTCGCACGAAGTGGGGAATTCGCACACTCCTGCCCCTTCCAATCCATTCCCAATTCCATTCCCATTCAATTCCATCCCCTATGTCTCATGCCAGTCGCTTCGCATCCTGGCTCACAGCCATCGCTCTGCCCTTTCTGCGCCTCCTCCCTCCCTCCCTCTCTCTCTCTCTCTCTCTCTCTCTTGCTGCCCCCCTTTCCCATCGCCCATTCCATCCACTGCTCACGTACTCACTCACTGCGCACCCCGGATGGAGCTTCACATCTTCTCTTCCATCGCCCCAACAATCCCCTGAGTTGATCTCCTTCGCTCTACCAGTCTCTGCCTCAATTGCCCAGCTCCTGAGTGACTGCTCATCATTCAGTCCCTTGAACCACACGGACTTGGATTTGTCAGAAGTTGGCAGTACCCACCTGCTGCAATTGGGTGACGAGGTTTGCATTGCTGAACTGCAATGGTATGCAAGTACTATTCAGGAGTTGTCATGGTAGGAGTTTTGAGCTGTACGTGGTCAGGTTTTGGTGTTTGTGTAAAAAGCAGTAGGTGTTAGAGAACTAGATAGCAGGTATGGAAATTACATGCCGCTGAAGTCGGCCCTGAAATGGAAACAAGACTTGTGGACTGGGATGTGGTGGAATTGCAGCATTGATTGCACGACTGACTGTTGTCCTGTGATTGCAGCGTCATGGAGCTCGATCATGCAAATAAAATGTCGCTGCTCTCGGTTGGGGTTTTGGTTCTCCTGCTAAGTGGCGTGCGTGGGTCTGCCGATGAGACGGATACGGAGCTGGACCCACGGAGTAACCCCGAGATCCAGCACACGATGACGGCGTTGGCCAACATCACCGACATTCTGGAGCTGGTGGCGTCGGAGGGCGGCGTCATTGCCGATGATTGCGAGCGGCAGATCCAGACCGCTAACGAAACGCTGCACTGGCTCACTGACCAGATCCCGCGCACCCCGCTGCTGGAAACGGCCAAATTCTTTAGCAGTGCTGCAAAAGCAGTCTCTGCCTGCAATGCATATCTGGCGTTACGCGCTGTGAGCCTATCAATCAAAGCCGATTCGTGATTGCTCGCTGATTTCATGTGAGTGTTCTGCGTCAGGAGATGTGCACCCAGGAGATCACTCTTAACATTTTCGGTCACTTGCAATTGCAGGATACGTTGCCAGTCTCAACCATTCAAATAAGTAAAATTGCGCTGTCAACAGTGATGCAGATGCTGACACAGCTGTCTTCAGACGCAGAAACGGTAGTGGATGTGGAAAAAAACGTCAATAAGACTAGCAGTGATTACCACCATGTAGATGGTTCCATGTCGCACTCCAACGAATCTAAGTTGTTAACCCCATGTACGTGAATCTGCCACTCTCCCGCCAATTTTTCTCTCATTCATTTGACTCGAGCTGGGCAGTAGATCAAAGATGTGAGGAAGTTCACATGAATGAATCGCTAGTTTTGGTAAGAATTGATTATAGTTGACGTTGAGACCATCGTAACAGCCACAGACGGGGACGATGTTAAGGAATGCGCCACGATAAACCCGACAAACTGCCAGTTCTCTGCATGTGGTAATGGGAGGGGTCTCACTCGATGCGCATTTGGCTACGCTGCGGGAGTCACCGGAGGCTTGAAGGGAATATCCTATGTTGTAACAAACAACGAGGATAATCACAGGAAGCCTTCACTGGGGTCTTTACGATACGGGGTGAACCAAGGTGGTCAAGCGAATGGGGGTGTCTGGATCACGTTTGCCAGAAGCTTTGAGATCACGCTCACTGACCTACTGTGGATCAGAAGTGGGACTACAATCGATGGTCGAGGATTCAATGTCACAATAACGGGGAAATGCATAGTGTTATGCGGAGTTTCCAATGTCATTCTCCACAACTTTCAGGTTAGCACGGTAGGGGAGAGCGACACGGTGCACATCTATGCAGGGTCGAGCCGAATCTGGGTGGATCACCTCACTTCCACAGATGCGAAGCTGGGGTTGGTGTCAGTGCTGCAAGGCTCTACGGACGTGACGATCTCGAACTCGTATCTGTCCAATTACAACTTCAACATGCTGCTGGGCGCCTCGGACTTCGACAAGGAAGACGCTGGAATGCGGGTGTCGGTGTACCGCAATTGGTTCCAGAACTCGATGCAGCGGATGCCACATTGCCGGTGGGGGAAATGTCACGTAATGAACAACTTGTATACCAACTGGGGTTACTATGCGTTGGGTGCGCGTGTAGGCGGGAAAATTTACTCCGAGTCGAATTTGTTCGTTGCAAGTCGGCGGTCGGAGATTACCCACTGGTTTAACGGGATTGGAACGAATTACGACAACAGTATTTTTATCAAAAGCACCAAAGACATCTTCCTCAACGGCAGCACTTTACATGAGTTTCTAAATCCGAATACAACTGAATCAAGCGATGACCTAAACACGATTTACAAGAGCGACAAGTTGTATCCCCCAGCGATTCTTCCGGCAACCTTGAATAAGGTGTTGCCGAATTGTGTCGGTGCTGTCTTCGGTCAAAGACTTCTCCAATGTTCTACGTAGACTACATGCTTGCCCACCAACAAATTCCAACGTGTATCATGCTCGGAGGAATCGACTGATTCATGAAAACTCACAGCCACATGAAATCGACTGATTCATTGTCCAGATCCAACCACTTGTTCTCGGAGCGCCAGTCATCTTCTCGGCTCGACGCCACAGTTGGATGTAAACTGGTCCAACTGGGCTTGAGAGAACCATCGCAAGTAGTCTGAAAGCAGTCAGAAACTAAATCCATGTCCCACTGTTATCGCGACACGATCACGATCCTTTGATGGCCACTCCTGACTCAGGCTTGGAAACGAAACTCAGCTACGATCGTCGAAGCGCTCATGGTCACCTCTGTCGTCGAGGTCTGGAGTTGAGAATCGTACCCGGATGTGATCTTGGATCCGGTTATCAATTTCACGAAGTCATTGGTAGGCGCCCGATGGTCGCCGGTAACCGTTTAAGCCTTCCGTCCGTTATTTTTCTAAACCCTTGAATTGAACTCTGTGTCCAATTAGCAACTTTCAAACTCAATATGTCATATATAATTAAATTTTATTCCCCAGAAATTGGAATTTTTTTTGAAATTAAAATAAAATATTCTTTGCATGAATTGTTTGCACCAATTTGTTATGAGGTCAATTTTAAATGCATGGTTGTTTATTTATCAAACATAATAGAACTTTTTGAGTATCATTAGTAATAAATTTTATGGTGGTATTTAAAATTTTAAAAAATTAAATTTATATTAAAATTTATTAATATTAATAAATAAAATTTATCCTAATTAAATTAAATAATCACCAAATCCAAAAACAAATCCATGAATCTACACTAAGTATTATTGTGTCTCAAAGTGCATCACTCAAAAATAATACATTATTATCAACATTTTTTTTAAAAAATTATTATAAAATAAATCCATAAAAAAATTAATTTTTTGCAAAAAATATGTAATTTAACTTAGCACAAATGAGGTGAGTTTTGAAAAACATAGATCAACTTATCAAAGTATAATGCATTGCATATGATGCAACTCTTGTTGCTAACAATAATAGCATTGGCAAAAAAATAAAAAATTTCATTAATGAACCTAGACAAAAAGAATTTATATATATATATATATATATATATATATATATATATTATATTCTTTTGTTTAAATATTGTAAGAAGAAGGCACAAATTGCCATGTCAATTGCTTCTTTTAGCATTGCAAGTCTATTATTTCTAAGTAAAAAAATAGATATTTTACTTTTAAGATTCCTTATAATTTATATGATGAAGCAAATTGTTGCATTTAAGAATTTGAATTGGAAAAACTACTTTAGAATGCCAAGGCATTTATTTAAGATGAAACAAAAGTAGCCAATAAGTTAGTTTTTAAGGCTCTAGATAGGTAACAATGAAATATTACTAGTTTTAAAAAGCCATTTGATAGAAAGTTGTTTGAATTAGCTAGAGAATTCCATCAAATGTTGTGAATTACTTGTCATAGAATAGAAACTCAAATTTCTAGTGCAACATTGAAGCTCTCTTACATATGCTCATCTATACTAAAAAATAAATCTTACAATCAATTGGGGACTATTGCAAGGTTATAATACTAGAATAGATAAAAATAGACATTATGAACAATATTTGTTTATATGTTGGAAAAAGAACATAGGCTATTTATATTAATAAAAATAAAAATATAATTAACATTCAAAATAGAATTCTTATGTTTAAATTGGTATGTAAAATGATTAAAAAGTATTATCGCAATATTATTGACTATGTAAACAACCAACAATACATCATAAATTGGACAATTTTATTTACCACTAGTATATGTATCAATTAGTTAAATCTCTATATTCAATCAAAAAAATTCATTGAAGAAGTTGATGTTTTTTTTGTAAAAACTAATATTTTTTAAGAATAAAATAATTGCTTCATATATGCAAACAAATATCTTAACATTCTTATTATTAACAAATTGTACAATAATCACTTCAAGCCGAAAGTTAGAGCTTTCAAAATGATACAAAACATGGCACATGCTTTATACAATAAAATATGTCTTATTACAAAGTTTCAATATCACATGTAATCACCACTAAAATTGTAATTAGAGCTCAATCTAGAAAACAAGTCTTTATTCCACCAAGCAACTTAGAACTCTTTGATATAAAACTTATCTTTAGACTAGTACAAAGATAATTTCTACTAAAACTTATCTTTTATATAAAATTTAAGAAATCTTTAAATAAAAAAAACAATTTCTACCTTTGGGCTATAATCAGCAATAAACCAATATTTTTTGATAGACAATTATATGTTGCTTTATTACATACTGAATCCAAATGGAACATTACCTTGATGCCATATGATAGATATTATGGATATATTGCAAATGTTATTTATTATAAAATATTTGAATACTAGATTTAAGCTATAAGTTTAAAATAAAATAAAGCTCCTTCTTAATTATTAAATATTCCAAAATTTTGTTTATTTGTTATTAAGATGTAAAATATAACAACATATAATAGTTCAAACAACTATCAATAATCATCATGATATGGATTATGATCTAGAATTAATTTTATGCCATAATTATATTTAATGTTTTGTATTTGAAGTTATATAAAATAAGCTATTTACAAGCATTTAAAATTGAGAAAATATCATATATATATATATATATATATATATATATCAAATATGTTGATTGATAAATGCAAATATATCTTTCAGATTTGTGATAATAGCAAATGTACCCTTGTTGATAATAAGATATCATCAACATTCCTTATTTAGTCATTATTTGGCTCCCAAATTACAAACTGTGATTTTGCTTTGCTCCTTTTTAGCTTTTCAAGAATTGGAAAAATCTAGCTTCATTTTCTTTTGTCAATTTGTATATCATGTCCTACATCACATATTCTCAGCGGTACTTTGCTATGGCAATGCTTTCCATGCCATGATGCTTGCATCTTTCAAATTGCATGCTACCACCCACCACTAATTACTTGCCTACAAGCCTCTAAACTTTAAGGTACAAATATGACTTATGGGATGGTAAAAAATCCAAAGGGTGCAGTGCATAGGTGTGATGAATTGCTCCAATAAGTTTTTGAGTGAAAGTTCAAGGTTGTTCGTTTAAGTTTGGAAAGTCAAGTGCATATCATATGCATTCCTAATGGTAATGGTATGCATAAATCGGCCAAAATGCATACTCACTTAACTCAAGAAGTAGTTTGCCAAAAAGAGGCATGGCAAAATCTTAACTTGTAGTCTAGACCTTAGATGACAACTAAACAAAGAATGTTAGTGAGACCTTATCACCAATAAAGATACATTTGCTATTATTACAAATCTGAGGGTATATTTTCTATTATAAAGAAAACGAGGATATTCTTGATATTTCTAACAAATTTGAGGGATATATACATATATATATATATATATATATGATATTTTCCTTTTAAATTCTAGCATTTTTACACCACATAACACCAAAAACATTACTATATTTTAAGTTACAGCTATTCTTTTCTCAACCATCCAAATATACTCTTACTTTGTATCTAGTTGGTTATTATCATCTGTGGCTTCTCAAAATTCCTTACCATAATTTTACTATTGAGGTAGTTAAAAAAAATTTATAAAAATTTGGATATCTTGAAATTAGTAATAGTGAACATACATATGAATACATATATTTATGTGTATATGTTTATTTAATATGTTGGAATATGTATCCCAAGGACAATAGAGCATTAGCTTTAGTTTTATTCTCGAATACAATAACAAAACCAAAATCAATATGATGAATTGCTAATTGATATAAATGTGAAAAATCCTGATGATAAATATGATATTTGCTCTGCACATCCACATACATTTACAAATTGGGTAGGAGTTCATTGCTGCAAGTCATCATCTGCTCAGTACTTAAGCATATGGGTTTGTAATTCGAGAGTTCAATTACGTCTACTCCTGGAACGGTGCTCACATAATCTGCATCAATAATACTGGTCACACTTTATGAACTTGGAACCACTCACCATCAAATAGTCAACAAGTTACTCATTCAACAACGTTGTACAGGTCAAGGGCTTGCGTCCCACGTCCACACTGCTTACCATCTAACCACACCCTCACTTAACCAGAACAATGCAAACCAAAAAGTCAAACCAGAGCAAAAGATCCAAAAGAATATCTGTAGACTTCCCAAACTAACGAATCTGAAAGAGAAACACAAAAAACCACATCTACATCGATCAACCGTCTATGCAGCTTATATTCCATATTAAACGACTGTTTTCACTCGATTCTCTACGACTCTGAACGCTGTTGCGAAGCTTGCACTGATGGTTATCAACAATATCAGCCCAGTACTGTAGCCGAGAACATCGTTGAGGTGAGTATTGAACTGATTGGACTAAAAAAAAAAATACAGAGGGGGATCGCAATAGAAGATCTCTACTGAAAAGGCAGCTTTCATATGCACTGCTGATCAAAACCAAGTTGCATATTTTCTGACAAATCTACGATCGGCAATTAAATGTAACAAAGTATGAAAGGTCCACAAAAAGGGGTTTTGATTAAGCCAGTCTTTCAAGTTCCTCCTAGAAATCACAGCAACCAACCGTCTTTGACCTGTTCCCACTTGTGCTAGAAATTCACGCGAGGTTGAGTACGTCCTCGCAAAGAAGAAACTGGGTGAATGCCAAAAAAATACTAACATGATCAAGTTTTGACATCCTCAACCGTTCGAACACAGTAAATGCTGATGACACAACACCGAAACTAAGATGGTGTTGTTTACCGTGCGGCCGATGCGGTGACAGCTGCAGAGGTCATCACCACATTGGTGGTAAGAGCATAACTGCGCTGACCAAGAACTTTGGTCTTCTCAATAATTTGTTCGTATCTGAATCACAACGAGCGAGACAATAAGAAAATACCCTTTCTCACACAAAAACTGCAAACAAATATATGTTCTTTGATTAGCTAACATTAGGTGCAAAGCGAGATTATAACCTGATCTCTATATATGGTAGCATCATAACCGCACATCTCTTAAACAGTAAAAACGATTATAGATACAGTTGTGGATAAACAGTGCGAAACCTAACTTAATCAAAACTAATACCAAGTAACGCAACAGAAACCGCTGACAAGTAGAAAGAAAACATACATGTTAGGGTGCTGAGTGCCCATCACAACAGTGCCCATCTTCGAATCAATCTTCGCATCCAAACGAGCATTGCGAATAAGATTCACGATCCATCTTTCGGCATCATCGTAGTTCATGTTCAACTTTTGAGAGAGCATTCCGATGTCGATGCACTGGTGGATGCGACAGTAGGTCTCAAAAATGAAAAGCCGGGCATTCTCCATAAACTCATCACGTAATGGAATTGTCACAAAGCCGTTTTCAGATGTTTGTTTGCCCAAGAAAAAGTCGCTCACAATCAGCTGCAAAGACGGTAAGATCCAACCGGTATGACTTTCACATTCAGGCAACCGATGCCCACATAGGGCAAACAGCGTGTTTCACCAATTTTAACAAACTGCTGAAACCGTGAAAATCATCATTAGAAATACTGAAGAAACCGCTCAAACCAACTCATTCCATATAAGTAATGAGGTCGTAAACCTAACACCTACAAAATAAAATTACCGAACCTCACCTCTTCACATTCACGAAGCTTCTTCTGAGCTCCTTCGAAATCATAATTTACATACAAGCACTCCAAAAATTCAGTAATCGGATCGCTGTACGTGTAGCGCTCCTGTTGAATAACCTTAATCAACTCCTTCAACATGTTTCTCCTCCTTTTGTTTACAATTGCAGCTGCAGCCAAGTAGCGCAACAAGTGATGCGCACTTGTCTGGATTGCATTTAGGTACCTGCAAATGTGATGAAATCAAGCTGCTCAAAACAAAGCGCATTGGGACAACTATCCACAACATGTACCGAACATAAAATTAACAAGATAAAATTAATAAGCATATTCCATCTTGACTGGACACGAAATCTAGACAATCCGTACAATATCAGACTTAATGTCTCATGTAAACGAATGAAGTCCACTTTAATGAAACGATACCTTTCAGAGAAGAACAAGTCAATGATGCCATTCCTTCCACTGTCATGGTTGAAGAAGATGAAAAGACTCCAGTGCATCAACCACGTCCGCTGCTGCAGCTGATTCAGAGGAGAAGCAAAGTTCTGCAACACATAAAACAATAAAAACAACTGCAATCAGGGCACCATGTTGGAAGAAAATGCCACGGTCGCCTTTGCTGTCCTATTACTATTTCTGAGACGTAACTGACTATCGAAGACTGAACAAGGAAGACATAATCACATAGTCATGGCTATGGTGAACAGTGTCATAGTACGGGCTTCCTTGCTTTACAATGAAGTCCATTCACCGGAAAGTGGATCCTCGAAACTGGTCGAACTAACCAAAATATGGAAAATAGGTTGTGAACTCAACATACCAAACTCTTCTCGGCTCTCACCTCTAAGGCAACGGCGATGGTCTAATAGTAGACACACCCTCAAACTACGATAGAGAGAGACGGATATGAGGAAGTGTCTGCCACAACTCTAGATCAAAGTGAATAACAGTCTACAGTTTTCTTCACTGAACATTGCATCGAACGATCCTAACGTCCTTACTAAGAAACTACCTTCCTCATTTTCGACGTCGTACTCACTACTCTTCAATAAAAATACAAAAATCAGCTTAAAGAAGCAGAGAATTAAATCTTTGCCTAAACGAATAGCTCGCATGGGTATTAATTATAGAGCAGTGACCATACCTTGGAATCAATAATTTCCTTCAGCCGATTCAACTCCTCGGTTGCCACATCCCAATTTTGCATCAATACCTCACAAGCTAGCTTACCCCAAAGGGCACTAATGCTGCGATCACTGTTGGTGCAAAGAGTCCGATACTGATACAGATAATCAGATGCACCAGAGTAATTTCCACACTCGAACTGAAACTTGGCATAATGATAGAGGGCCTCTATTTGCTCAGACCCAATCTGAAAATCCATTGCAGTACCAGAGTTAAGTATTCATCAGATAGAGCAAAGGCCAAATTACCACCCTAAAGCCGCTCTTAATTGTAGAAACTTTTCCTGTCTTCACATGTACCCTGAAAGATACTCTCTTCGAAGTGTTAAAGATTTTACTGTAAACCATTACTATTCAGAGGAAACAAGATTAAAGATTCTACAGGATTACTTGAAAAGGCAACGGCATACTTCTAAAAGACACCTAACGAAAGAGCAACACCGTGTTGCACTGTAAAATACGAGAATGTAGTGCCTATCCAGTGGAGGATTAACTAGTAGAAGGCCAGGTGCGAACATACATCCGTAGTGTTGACGTTTTGGAGGCCTCAGATATATGTCAGCAATGCTAAAAACTTGCTCGCTACCCCATTCATCATGAGATTTCACGATAAGCGCAGGCTCAACCTAGTCATAGTTGAACTAAATTAGCAGTTTCAACTACGGATAAAAACCATTCATTCTGTAAATTACTTCTTGAGCGAAAACCTAACCTGGTGTCGTTCCTGCAACATTTGGAGGTTGTAATGCTTATCAGATCGTAATTCTTGAACAAGAGCTGGGTTCTGTAAGAAGCTGATGAGTGGTGAAGCTGATTCTTCCAGCATCTTAAGCCGACCGACTACCTCTACCCTCCTGTCCACCATGTCTGGATCACCTCACAAACATGTCAGCAGCGAACTAAATTCGATGAATGTCCTGACCACTAAATACCGAAAAATGGCGTTGAAAGCCCTTCGGACATTACTTCGCATCGATCCATATTGAACTTCGAAAGATTGGAAGCGCACTTCAGAATCGAAACTCCGATTGCCACCAATTAAACGTGAAGCGGGAACCATAACAATCAATGCCAAGGATTCCACTCCAGTCTAGAAATGAAGACTACAAATTCTGCGGTTCCAATCGAGGCAAGCAGAACACAGTGCCAGACATTATGCCCGACATACCTGGATTAATTAACCGCGAAACAAAGGAAACAACTTCCCATCAAAATGACACCAAATGTTAAAGGGTTTGAGCTCTCTGAGATCGAGAACCCTCAAGCGAACCAACTAGTAGCACAAATTGCTCACTGTCTCGCTAATCAATCTTCCCCATCGTCATTAACGCTGGCACGTTCCGGTATTAGCTGAAAGACTACGAATACACTTTGAAGGGCATCTGTTCCAAAGGGTCCATGCAGCATCCCACGCCGGGAAACTTCAAACACCAGAAAAACAGAAAAAACACAACAGATCACCAGACACCCCCTATAAAAAAAAAATAAATAAATAAAGATATAAACGACAACAACTCCACCGCGCGCACTAACCTTGCGGCACTTCCTCGGTGTGGTACAGGCTCTTGTGGATGTCCATGGCATAGTCCACCATGTTGGTCTTGCCCAGCAACTCGATTTTGGCTTTCAGGATTTGGTCATCGCTGTAGATCTGCTTGTCCTGCAGAAACTCAAGCAGAGGGAACACGAGGTGCCGGTCCAGGAACGGCGCAACTTTGGCGGTGAGATCAAACTGCGCCATGGCTACGAAACCCACGAAACCCACGAAAACCCCACAGAATCCACGAAGCTCTCTCGATAAAAAAAACACAAGAATCCAACACAATGACAACGAGTCAGAGGGCAGAGTGTGGGCGACGGGAGCGCCACCGAAGGAAAGGCCGGGTAACTCGCGCGCGGGGGGTGAAGCAGCCCAACACTAGGCCATGCACTGGCGCGTGTCCTCGGCAAACCCTAACTTCCCCGAAAACCCTAATTTCATCCCAAGCCTGGGACTGGGCCCTTAGCTTGAATGCACCCACAAGCTTTGTGATACTTTGTACCCAGTTTCTGTTATCATTCTTAAATTTTATTTCCAAATAAATCTTGTGGGTTTATGCATGAAAAGTTGATTAAACTCTTGGTGTGAGAAGACATTGGCCTCAGTTTTATTTAATTTTTTAATACATGTTTTAATTCATGGGTCTAATTTGTTTTGATGTGAAATAGTTTATCTGATTGGAAGTTTTTTACATGGCTAGATGAGGAATATTGTGGACATGAGTTATTTGTTCTTTATGTTGGGAATTGTGATTTGTTTGTTTTGAGGACTGTTGAGTTTTAAACTCATCTTGATAAAAGATTCGTTGGTTTCTTTTATTAACTTTGGTTTGTGAACTCATATTGTGTGTTTTTAAAACGACCCTGTTTCTTAAAAACAATTGTTTTGTTTTTTTTGTGTTATAGTGATCTTAAAATGTTGAACTTGACTGTATCACGTTGTAATGTTATACAATATATTTTTTATTTTACTCATACTGCAACAATTAAACTTTTTTACACTAGGTTTTAAAGTACATTCACCTAAACCAGAAGATAGAATGCTTTAAATAAATTATATGTAAGATCAATATCAATAAATAAATAAATAATATATATGTATATATATAACTAATTATGTGAATATTATTATGCATTTAAATAAACAAAATTTTACTGTAGTGTGGTTCTATTAGCAACAAAAAGAAGTACATTTTTTTGCAGTCAATAAGCATATTTTCAGTTAGAGATTTCATGTATAATGCTGAAAATAAGATGCACTTTCGGAATGAATATTTATTGATACATATACATATTTGGGGGTTTTTTTTTACATCCTGTTACAGCTTTCAAAATATATTTTATTTGTTGCTCTTTGATGACTAAATAAGGAATACAATGTTTGTAATAGAACTTTTAAGATGATTTTGTTGTACAAAAGTATTTTTTCCATGGATAATACGTCCAAAAAATTATCAATAAAAGAAACGCTTGCCATTTATGACATGATATCATACACTTAGACCCATTTCAAATTACTACTTCAAATTAAAATTTACACAGGTATTTCATGAAAAATACAAATTATTCCTCATTAACAACACAAACAATATGACTTTAGATATTATACTGGCTTTCGTATCAAAGATTGTTGGATATTATGAATTTCGGAAGTACTTATTGTGAATCATTGATTTTGCATTTCTTTTCTTTCCTGTATCTACACGTAACACAGAAATGTACTAAAACGTTTATTTAGAAACAACTAACTACTATTAATATGATTTGAACAGAACAAATACTTTCATTAAAACTCTACCTTAAATTAAATACTGTTTGTAAATCAATCCTAAAAAAACGTACCATTTCATAGGACAGTAATTTTATAATTTTTACCTTTCTCATTCATACAAACATAGACAGACATATGTATATATATATATATATATATATATTGTTTCTTTACATAGAATAAACCATAAATTACATGAAGACAATTTTGATATTGCAGCTATCAGATCTTGAGAATGATGATGCTAGCAATTGAAAATAAAAAACTTATAATCTTTCCTTGACTTTCTTATCAAATTTATAACTGCAAATTCAAAAATATTTAAAACTTTGCTTTCATTATATTACAAACCTACATTTTATAATGCAAAAATTCAAGTTATTCACGTGTATCATAGAAAGTGTAGTTAAAGGTAAAATTATATATATATATATATATATATATACATATTATAAGCAATGGAGTGCTTGAATTTTCCAAATTCCTATAAACAGAACACCTATCACTTAAATACAATATTCATCACCTCCAATGATCTGCGAGGGATGTGTAATGCAAATATAGCAACGTGACTAATAAATGACAAAGCATGAGTTAAACTCAGCTATTTTCTACAGTAAATATGAAAAAGCAAATTAACTAATCAATTAATTCATTCATTCATCATGAAATATTACATCCAAAATCGACAGAAAACTGAAACGACGAAAACCTCAAGAACAACATCCAACTGAAGGATGAGGCCTATGTGGACGAAAGTCCACGTCATCGTTTTAGAGTCCACGTTGGACGCCTTAAAGCCGTGCTGGCGCCCCTTCGACCGTGAAGAAGATCCCATAACCGTGTCTGGAGTCGTGCGTTAGAGCCCCCGCATTGCACAGGCGCCGAGAGAGTGAGCGTGAGAGCCCTCGCGGATTGCTGATCGGAGGGCGTGTCCCATTGCGCTTCTCTCACGGGCATTTACATCACCAACGCCGGGATTGATTGGCAATGCCGTTCAGCATTGCTCGTGATCTCCTCATCAAGCTCAGATTGGCCGATTCTTCCAACTCAACCACGCGCTCTGCAGCAAGAGCTCGTTAGGTTTGTTCCTCAACGAAGGTTGATCGAGCATTGCGGTGCGGCATTGAGCATTGTTTTGTTTTGGGTCTGTTGATGACGTTGAGATCGTGTTGTTTTGGGTCGAGTGGGAGAGGGATGATGTGGAGAATTTAGTGGGTCGGTTCTGGGTTTTAGAGTGTTGGGGTGTTGCATTGAGGAGAGAGAAAAGATGAGTGGGGCGAGGCTGTGCTCTACTTTGGCCCACTTGGGGTTCGAGGGATGGCAGCTCCTGGACCCCGACAGCTTCGAGTGGCCGTTTCAGTATGAGGAGACTCGACCCCTGCTGGACTTCCTGTGCACTAATCTCCGGCCTTCGAACGTGCTCTCGCTTCCCGAGCTTTTGCAGTAAGCCACGCCCGGTTTCTTATCACCTTTAATTTCTTTTTTTGCACTTCGGTTGGACCTGATGATGCCGTCGAAGGATTAATCCCATGGATGCTCAAATGTTGGATGGTCACACCACTGATATTATTTTGTGTATACCTACGCTTTGAATGATCGTTTAATTGGTTGTTTTCAGATATAATGAGCTGAAGGCTGAGGGTAAACTTCTTGAGGTGAGTACTAGCTCAAATGTGTGATCCAAGTCCCCGATGGTTCATTTTTGACTAATCCTCCTTCTTCTTTCCTTCTTTTAAAATGTTTGTCTTATGTTTAATTTCTTAAAACAAATTTATTTGCATTTTCCTTTTGTGATGTTGAGCTAGCTTGTAAACTAGGAATAGCTTCTTTTGTGAATGACTTTTCGCCTTGTTCATGAGTAGATACTCATGACTCTGACCGCGGAGCATTTGAACTCTCAAATAGTAAATTTTTTGTTGACGTCTACGTTCTGGATTGGACATCAGGGGGAAGATCTTGACTTTGCTTATGGGAGTATATCGGCGTTTGCAAGCAGGCGTACGAACCAGGAAGCGATACTGGGAGCTGAAGAATCCATCAAAGAAATCAAGTGAGTGTAACGACATAAGCGACTGATTGATGTTGTTACCTCTGCGGTGTGTTATTGTTGGAGTGTTCTTTTGTGTTTGAGCGATGATAAGTTATTATTTAATCGTTTCTATTCATCTAAACAGAGAGGCAACTGCATCCTACAAAGCAGAAGCTTTAGCACTCCAGAAACGGCTGCAGAGACTACAGTCGCAACTTGAATTGTTAGGAGGCCAGACCTCGTCTCTTATACAGGGCCGGAGAGGAAGAACTGCTGCAGCAGCTTCAGCCGCTGGGAATCTCTCAATGATCGAAGAGAAGTTAGTGGGAAGGAATTCAGAGGTAATGTTCATTTACTTTTTGGTTTGACATTCTCACATGGGTTGCATTCACTTCACTCGTTTTGTTTCTATCTTGTGTGACTTCAGAAAGTACGATTATCTGATTCTTACTGTTAACGTATCACTTTGAACGACTGTTTCGGAACACTACATGTGTTGGAATTGCAAGTGTAGAGTTTTATTTATTTATTTATTTTAGATGCAGTGCTCATGCTACTTTTGGTATTTTTACTGTTATGGTTCAGATGAATACTGTTTTGGAGAAGCTGTCTTCGTCTGCCCGTGAACTCTCATATTACCATTCTGGAGAAGGTAATGTTGCATGTAACTTTCCTCTAAAGCTCTCTGAAAGACCTTTTATACGGAGCTTATTTAATTTTTATTTGAATCTAAAATCTCTATTTCCCGCTACTTTCACTCATTATTCACTGGCTTTCCGTAACCTGGGATGTTTTCAGATATTGATTAATCTTGTGAAGACGACTTGATTATAGTTGTTATTGCTATTTAAAAAAACTGCGTTTTTTTTTTTTTTTTTTTTTTTTTTTCAAATTCCATTTGGAGGAATCCTAGCACCGTCTAACCATTATCTTTCATTCGTTGTGCAGAGGACGGAATATACATATCTTTCGCTGATTTGCGCCCATACACTAGTCAAGACCAAGCATGTACTAAAGTTCTTAGCGAGTGGTTCTCCAAACAATTTGATGTGGTTGGTGCCATGCTTTACTTGCCCATGATGGCACCTTGTATTTATTTTCCTGTTGAATGTGTTTGGTTGCGTTAATTGTTGTCCTTTGTCACTTTTTTTCTGTATCCGTACCTGTTGCTTAATCGTAGTTTCTTGCCTTTTGTGAGTGAATTTGCAGTTTCTGGAAGTGGTTTCTTTATTAGGAGTCTGATATTCTTTTACTCTCGATCTGTTATGTAGCTATTTTGTACCATGATAATATCCTGTTTTGAACGTGTCAAATTTGTGGTTGTAGGGTCCTTCCCGGCTTGTGGCTGAAGAAGGAAAATCGAAATGTGCCTGGGTGACTCTTGATGACGTGACCAATCGTTTCATAAGAGGTTTTTTTCACATATGATTATGCGTCGAAACTTTCCAAGAGCGATTTAGAACAGACATTAAATTGAATGATTCTTTTATCTAGTGTGTTTCTTTTTTAGTTTCTTAGATTTAAAGCTTACGTTCTGATGCGATATTTCTGTGGTAGGTGCAGATAAGGTTCTTGAATAATATCTAGAGATTGTCCAATTACGGTTATATTTAAATTTGTATTTTTGAATTTGAAAATATTTTTGCAGGGGACTCGGAGAGAACCTATCATCGACGAGTTGTAGAGCTTCAACGCCTCAGATCTATGTAAGGCTTTTTGCAAGAGCAGTCTGGTGACCCGTGTTTACTGTATCAAATACATAGCTGGTTCAATATCGAAGTTTGAGAGCATATTTCAAAGAGGGTGCGACTTGGTTTCTATATAAATTGGAGTACAACAGTGGTATGCTATTTCCTCAGTTGGTAAAAGGCTTGAGCATCGTGCAGATTTGGTGTAAGTGAGAGGCAGTGGGTTGAAGCCCATGCGGAGAAGGCTAAACAACAAGCTCTGCTTCTAACAGCACAGCTTCAATCTTCTGCCGATCAAGCGCATGTGCACTCTGATCTTCAAACTCTTAGGTGATCTCCACTTTCATTCTCTTTGAACAATATTACTTGAAGTGGCTTTGTTTAAAACTGTGCAGACATTAAATTGAATGAACGGTGCAGTACACTGAATATCTCTATATTATTAGAAACACTTTCGGGACTCTGAACTTGTGAATATCGGTGGAAGAATGTTCGCAGGCGTAGGTACACAGATGTTGGAAGTGAACTTTATACCCTCATTCAAAAGGAAGAAAAATTGTTGACTGAGGTTTGAATTTTCTAAATCTGATGCATCCCATATTTTTATTTGAGTAGGACTTGTGGTAGGGGTTGTTTGCTGATTATGTTCTTGCTAGATGGACCATATATTTGATGGTCTACTATGTTGGGCTTCTCTTGGTTCCGTCTTCATGTACTGCGTAGAACATGTACTTGATTTTTAGGCTCTTTCATAGATATTGAATCTATCTTTCATGGGTCTGGTTTTAAACATGTCACAGTGTGCATTTACCATAGCCAGTCATTTTTTGAGCACGAAAGATCACATTTCTCGCCAATCAAGATGACTTCTTATTGTGGATTTGCTGAATTCATCTAACAGGTTGTTCCTAATCTCTGTTGGGAGCTTGCCCAACTCCAAGATACTTATATTCTTCAAGGTAGAGGATCAAATACTGTTAGAGTGAATCAAATTTTGCATGATGTCACCGCACTTTGTGTTACTATGCACTTGATGGCGTAGTCGGTGTAGCAGTTACTATTTAAAATTTCTGATGGAGATTAGATACGCACTGGATACTTGGCATGAATTAAAAGGGGTTTTTTTCAATTTGTTACGGATGTATGATGCTTTTCCTTTTTGTATTTTGATTTTTTAAAAACAATTATTATCATATGTAAGGTCTGCTCATCAAAATCATTTTTGTAACCGGAGAAAAGTGATTGTTTCCTTATGGAATGAACTTGTTCGGCATATTTCAGCGTGGTAATCTGTTCAGTGCTGACTTTTCGTACAGGTGATTATGACCTGAAGGTAATGCGGCAGGAATACTACATCTCACAGCAGAAAAAGGTCCGCTACACATTGAATTTGCAAATGCTTAAATTTTCATTTCTGACCTCGTCTTTCCTCTTTGCAGCATTCATGACGACAGATGGTAGTACTTTTTTAGATACTTCCAAAGTCTCATCTTGTGAATATATTATGATTGGCAGTTTATAGGCTTTTTGGTGGATCAACTGGCAAGGCATCGATTTCTTCAAGTTGCCTGTCATCTGGAAAGAAAAACAACGAATGGTGCCTACGAGTTGTTACGTCTTGTGGATGCAGAATTGCAGGCTTATACTTCTAACACTCTAGGTCGCATTGTATGTCTTCTAAGCCTCTTGTTTTCTTTGTAATTGGTTTCGCTAACTGTTCCCATGAGTTGCAGTATGTCTGAAAAAATTCACCCAAAAATGTTAAATTCATATTACGAATTCATCTGTTAGGCTATTCCTGTTATTTCTTCTATTCTGAATGGCTGTTTCTGTAAATATTTCGGAATGCAGGAGAGATGTGTAGGATTAGCATTGGCAGCGACCGAGGCTCAAGAACATGGAGGTGTTGATGATCGTGACACATTCCTTCATCGTGTGCGCGACCTTCTCAATATCCATACATGTAAATTATTACGGCCAATTATTGCCCTCATAATTTTTTGCTTATTCCTCCTAACTTAATTACCCTCTTGCAGATAAATAAAATGCTAGTTTAGATATTTATTGTCCACATTCATTTCAAGTATTCAATTGGACTGGAAAATAGTGGTGGGATGGGGCTAGACCAAGTAGTACTCGAACTATCTTGAATTTTTTCTTAAAATATATATACAAAACAATTTTAAACGGCCTTGTGATCCACCTCCGTCAGAATATTCCTCGATTATCTTGACTTTGAATCTCATGCAGATGAGCAAGGGGGATTGCCACAGTATGTGTCAGCACCAGGTCTTGTGCAGCAGATAAACCAAGTGCAAGTGGAGCTTGAAACTTTGCGCGATGAAATGCATCACTCTTTGCTCCAAGACAAACATAAGTGCATCAATGACCTGTAAGTTTGCGGTTCTGTTCAAATTCGTGAGTTAGCGATCGTGTGGTTTGCAGGAACTAAAGATGACATATTTAGAGTGCTTTTCTTCATACCTGAACTCTGGATTCAATTTTGTTGGTTCTTGGAGCAGACCATCTCTTAACTTATATTTTTAATTGGCAGGTGTCATGTTATTCACAAGATGCAGCAGCTCTTGTTTGCGTCGTCAACTACCGCTCAACCAATTCTGAGTCCTTGGGTATGCATCCACCATTCAATTCCAGATCTGGTTAGTATTAATTCTAGTTATGTTTTGCCTAGGAGGCACCATCTTGGAGATGTGGTAGTTTTTTACTCAGTGGAATGAACATGCAAAAGCCATCTTCAACTTAATTTCTAGAGCTGGATTGTGCTTGGAAGAATTTTAGGAATATATGCATAGGCTAGGAGTGGTTCGCCGAACCAAAAGTGGGAATATGTACTCGAGACAAGTCCTTCAAGGATTTATTGTTGCATCTACCTTCATCTTCACCTTAACAAGCTAACATACTTGGCTTTGGCTGAATACAGCCCCTCATGAAGGAGCTTGGTGAAATGGAGAAAGTAAATTCACAGCTTTCTTCAGCTATTGAAGAAGTCACTCGTGAGCACCGTGAAAAGGCAGAGGTAAGCAATGATCCTCGCTACCAATGCGTTCACATTTCCCTTCTTATGACAACTTAAGTCAAATCTGTTCAATCCTTCTAAAGTGATTCAACATCCAACCGCATACTCATAAGGTCTGTATTTGTAGCAATGGGCTAATTTTTGTTTGGGTTGAGGTCAAGCGGTTCACGTGCAATTCTGTGGGCTAGACGTGCTACGGTTGTAGTTTCTCATACACCACTTGAGATGACATTTCATTGGCACTAGATGAAGGAATTGAAGTTGATACAAGTACCCAATTCATTCTAAGTTAGTCACACACTTGGATATATTTTGCAGATTGTGAAGCACCACCCGCATGAAGTTGGGCGGGAAAGACAGGTCTTTGTGGACTTTTTCTGTGCACCTGACCGCTTACGAACCCAAGTGCGAGAGCTTTCAGCCAGAGTCATGGCTCTGCAAACCTAGCATTGTGTTTATTTTCCATAGACTTTGTACAACATCAGATCTAAGTTGAATTTTTCTTTCGCTGCTCCATTACTCAATGTATTGATTAGTTGCTAGTGATTCGATGATGCTTTCTTATTCAATGATCCTGTCGTTCGATGTATTTCGACCAGCTAGTCCCTTGTTTCTACATAATCATATGAATATTGTTGGTGGTTTCTATCAACATGCGGAAGCAAGTGGCCCCCAACTATGACCATATATCGCTCTGATCGAACCGGTAACAATGCATGTTTCTCCATTCAACTCAACCGCCCATTAACTCACATACGTTCAAATTAATTGGTAAATGCCCCTGTTTGTCTTTGAATGTCATAGCTTCACATACATCCAATGTGATGCTTTTATCAGGAAAAGGAGTAAGGTGGACTCTTTAATAACATCCAATATCTAGGCATTGTATGAAATGAGTTAAAATCCTAATGTGAAATTAAATCGTTCGTCAGCAATCTGAAGAGCTGTATGATTGTGTCTGAAAGAATAAGAATATTTGTAGTGTACTACATACATAATGGTCCGTTCATATATATTCGGTAATTACATTTCATCATCACAAAACGGGAGTTTACAGCGTGTTTCAAGTTGGGCAGACAGATTTTGGTTTTGATTTTTAAACTATTGAATGTATTGTTAAGATAAATCGGATGCATTTGAAATATTTGTATGTGCAAAATACACGTGTAGGGTAATGCATTTAATAAAGTATTACAGCATTTGTAGCTAATTCTCGTTCCAATTTGTGTCATAAAATGAACATGAAAAGGACCTGCGAAGCTCATTTTTGCATCAATCTTCGACTCTGCATTGTGAACTTAAAGCTGTCCACAAAATCCGCATCGTAAAACTTCGAACTTCAACGGTTGAGAAATGAAAAAACATTTTAGACTTGAGATTGTAGCCAAAACATGTACCAACCACACGAAATCGAGCAGTTACGAACTTAAGATTGAAATGCAACAACGTATACATGTTTCGATTCGGAGGTGCCGAACCACCTCCACAATCTTCGTAAGCTCCACTTCTTTTCGAACATATTACAATTTCAAGATATTTTTGAGAATAAAGCGAACCTGTTTAGTTGCGTGTGAACCCTTAATAGCGAGAGAGAGAGATAGAGAGAGAGCGAATGAGGACAACGCAATAACGCAGACCAAAAGCAGGAAGTGATTCCATGAAATCTGTGGGTCGTTCTGCTGCTACATTACGTTAGAAGGGGAAAAATTGAGGAGATCGAATCTGGACGTTGCGGTGCGAGATTGAAGGTTCCGGCGAAGCATCCTTACTCTGGAGGAATGCTTTAGGACCGTCACCTTTTCGAGAGCCATCATTCACGTCGGAGGTGCCGATCGCGTGACCTGTGACCACACCTTTTTGGTACGAAGGTTCACTGTTCGCATGCATTCTTCATTTATCTCGTATTTGTCAGCGCTAGATTTAAGGAACCATCGGATATCGCTACGGTGCACAAGTGTTGCTCGTTGCAGGAATTGCGTAATTGCATCAACTGGGTTCACGAGTCGGTTTGAGTTTGAAGTGTGGGTTAAGATATCGTAGACAAAATGGAGGATGGTGGACAGGGACAGGGTGCCAATGGCGTGAGAGGCCAGGATGCGGAGAAGACAATACAAGAACAGAAGTTGTTGACGCCATTGCAGCTGGGACCCTTTAAGCTCGCTCACCGGTACGTCGATGTGGGGAAGATGTTGGGTTGCAGTGCTTCTCTCTTCGCAACTGTGAACCAAACCTCGTGATGAGCAGTGGGGACATCAAACGCACCCTGACGTGGAATTAACGTGGTGTTGTGATGCAGGGTGGTGTTGGCTCCGCTCACAAGGTCTCGCTCTTACGGGTGCAAGCCGCAGCCGCACGCCGCACTCTATTATGCGCAGCGCACTAGTCCCGGGGGTCTACTGATCGCTGAGGCGACTGGCATTTCAGAAGACAGTAACGGGTATCCGCATACCCCTGGAATCTGGACCCAGGAACATGTTGAAGCGTGGAAGCCAATTGTGCAAGCTGTGCACGAAAAGGGCGGAATCTTCATCTGTCAAATTTGGCATGTCGGCCGCGTCTCTCATACTTGTAAGCTCGCGGCCCTTGATATGACTCAAAAGAGAACGGCGATACTATATATATATATATATATATATATATGTATTTATTTATTTTTCTTTGTGTGTGTGTGTGTGTGGCGGAATCTTGTAATTTCTCGTCCAATGGTACTTATTGTGTGACGTTGCCTTGCAGCCTACAACAAGGGCAATGCACCTGTCTCGTCAACCAATCGAGCGATCTCGGAAGGGAAGTTGCAACTCCCAACCTGTGATGGATACGTGGATTGCTCGACCCCCCGGGCCTTAGAAACGAGTGAAATCCCGAAGTATGTCGACTACTACCGCTCCGCCGCACGAAATGTAATAGAAGCTGGATTCGATGGAGTAGAGATTCACGCCGCACATGCATACCTAATCGACCAATTCCTGAAGGATGGCGTCAACGACAGAACCGACGAGTATGGTGGGTCCCTGGCCAACCGTTGTCGATTCATGGAAGAGGTCGTCGAAGCCGTGACGAAAGAGGTCGGAGCTCAGCGCGTTGGAATTCGCATCTCTCCTTTCACAGATCACTACGACGGGGGGGACTCGGATCCTACCGGCCTTTCGGTTTACATCGCCAACACTCTCAACAAGTACAACCTTCTCTATCTGCACGTCGTGGAACCTCGATTTACATTTAAGAGCGAAACTTTAATCGAGTCCAAGCATAGTATCTGGCCGATTAGGAACGCTTACCGAGGCAATCTTATAGTTGCTGGAGGATTCACCCAAAAGTCCGGCAACGAAGCCATCGAGTCTGGTAAAGCGGATGCCGTGGCTTATGGCAGGGTGTTCCTTGCAAACCCAGATCTACCGAAGCGATTCTCCGTGCACGCTCCGCTGAACCAGTACGACCGGTCAACATTCTACATTCAGGATCCCGTTCTCGGCTACACCGACTATCCCTTTTTGGAAGAAGTGGCGCCGAAAGCCAAGAAATAAACCACTGTTAGTTTGATTACTAGCCATTAGTCTACCTTTAGAAGGTAGGTCAATGTAGCAGTGGACGCTCACATTCATGTACACTCTTTCCAGCACTAGTGCAAAACGCAATTCAATAGTGAATGATCTATGCAGTTTTGAATAGCTCGACATCGGCACTTCCGAGACCTCATCACAACAGTGCGAATGCGAACGAGTCGTATTTTCTTAACTCTTGATATCGACGAAATGCACCATGCTCATACACATATGTATATTCTGTAGAGGTAACAAACTATACCGTCGTGGATTCTAATTTAGATGATACTCTTGTATCGATCATTTCCACAGAATGTGTACATGCCCCAGCAATGATCCTCGAGCACTCAAATTATTTCACACTTCGAGCAAAATGAGTGTTTTCAGTGACGTTAGTAACAAGATTTTGGAATTGAAACTGGGATAGTATTAACAGAGAAACCGAGAATATATACGCTGGGGTCGTTCATGGCCGAACTCTTCACCACAGACAACGTGGGGTGTGTCGGTAGCGTGGCGGTACGTCGCACCACAGCGGCAGCGCCGTCGATACCACACGCTGTCTTCCGACGTGGACGGAAACTAGTGTTGTGGATTCAAGTTTTTTCTTGTGTAATGATTTCTTGAGTTGGGAATGTTTTGGGCGAAGCAATCAATCGTAATTTGACTGTATTTCTGAAGTTATGTACTTTCAAAAGAATTCAATGAAGTGCAATGCATTATATTTTGTGATTGTAAAGTAATGTAAAAATTATTACAATAAATATATTATATGTTATAAATAGGGCATGAATGTAGGGCACTTAAAATTGGATGAGGGGAAAATAAGATAATTGTTGGTAATAAAATACTCAATATTCTAAAACATACCAATGATCAACTTTGAGGGATACCAAAATAGCCAAGAAATACTAAAATCATAATAAACATTTTTATTTTTTTAGTGGTTTGTATTATATTACTTTCTTATTGACTTTTTAATGCTCTATTGGGCTTTCACTTACCTATTCTCATCTTTTAATGTTTTTAATTACAAGTGCTACAAAGACAGCACATGATATATATATATATATATATATATATATATTTATATATAAATGTATATGTATATTTTTACAAAACATGATGTATCCAAGATTAAAATATAAATAGTAGATATAGAACAAAGTTGCTTGTATTTTAATCTATTTAAATAAGTAGATATAATAGTCCATATTACAAAAAAGAAATGTGAACAAGAAAGAAAAATGCTATTTTTTATAATTATTCTTTTAAAATTTTATATTTTATTTTAATATCAATAAATAAATTTATAAATTTAATTTTATTAATGAAGAACTTATTATCATCTTTTATTTGTGATGAAAAGCCAATAGATGAACTTTAAAGTTTATGCAAATTATTTAAATAAGTCCAAATTCAACCAAAGTTTATGCTGGTCTTATTTTTTAATATTAAATAAAGTAGTTTGTAATATAAAAATGTATGTTTTGATATTTTATTCAAATAAAGCATTTGAAAGTATACAGAATATATTTAATTAAGTATATATGTTTATTCTTTTTGTTCAACTATTTCAAGAATATTTAAGTTTTGTATTTGAAATAAAGAAACCTTGGAAAAGAAAATAGGTCTTCAGAAACCACCATCTACTTACCTCGTAATATGCTAGAATTTTGTTTTATTAAAAAAAAACTATTACAACCTTTTATAATTATATTCCAATTATTTTCTTGAAGCATACATATATTATATATAAAAATAATATAGTACAAGTAACTACTTTATATTAATACTTCAAGAGGATCTTTTGTCACATAAAATTTATATAATAACATATTTAATATTTGACATCTTAAAAATGAGAAAAAAGAAAAAAAAAAAAAAAAAAAAAAAAACTCAAATCCGTCTTTTGATAGATCAAGACTACTATTTATGTTGTGTAGATTCTCTTGGAGATGTTTTTTTTGAAGAATTTGTTTTCTATTACATTGACTTCTTATCATTGCAATTTATAGAGTATTTAAGTTTTAAAAAATAGAAATAATGGTTTTTAAAACAAAATCAAATCAATAAGAGGACATATTATTTATAGAATTCAATACTGTGATCTCTTTTATAGAGATTCTTATCATTGCAAAGCATTATTCTTAAACCAAAAATACCAGCCACAAACATTTGTTTTATACTTAAGAAAAGCTAAATTGGTGCCTTAAACAGTTGAGTACTTGAAGTAATTATGATAAGTAATATTAAGTAATGTTATAACTTATAAATAAAATCTAGTTCAATTTTTTAATTATATTTTGGTTCCAAAACAATTATCATGATCTTAGTGCCTACTAAGAGGCTTGTCTAGATTATGATTCTTTGATATATAATAGTCATTGAATAGGAGACCTAAAGCTTCTTAACTGACAAAAAAAATACCAATAATCTAATTCTTTTGGATTATTTTTCAATAGTAGTAATTTTATCATTAGTAGAATTAGATTTTTTGTTTAAATAGAGCTTTAGCAAACCTTCTTTAGCATTGGATTGTAATGTAAGATGAAGGCATCAAAAGAATCATTTAATAATTTTGATTTTTCTACCATCAAGGAGCAACACTTCATAACAATAACTAATATTGTGCTTGTTATATTGAAATTAGTCTTGTTGACTAATGATTATTTATTTGATTCTAAAGTGTAGTTTGATGATTAAGAATATTATTTTTGTTGATTTAGATAAGTAATTTCTACTATGCCTTGTAAATTTTGAAATAAATATAAAATTTAGTGATAAGACTAATCTTCTACTTTATCAACATGTAATTCTTATGGTTCTTTCTTGAACCAAAATCTATTGTGCTCAGAATGTTTTCATGTTCAAATGTGTTTTTTTTATAAAAAAGTACAGAGCAAATAAAGAAAAAAAACATATTCTATAAAAACCAATTTCAACTTTGATTTTTTTTGTAATGTATTGAATAATTGAGGTCTAATTTTGCTAATAACAATATGGCATTTTGTAATATCTTCATATTGTAATGAATACATAGCCTCAACATATTATATTACTTGAAATTTAGGTTATTATAATTTTCTCTTTTAAAATAAATTTTGATACTTCATTGTATTTTAATATAGTAACTTCTATAGAACTTGATTCCTTTATTACACCAACATGTATTGCTTTGGAAAAATCTTATTTGCTTATAATTTCTTTATTAGATATCACCATGAAAATTATGTGCTATCCATTCGTTAGATAATTTAATGAAGTAGCAATAGACTCCATTACCAATTATGCTTCAATCTCAAATTAATGTTGTATATTAGAGTAATAGAACTTTGTATCTCTAATCTTTTATTATTATTGTTGGTTGTTATACTAATTATATATATATATATATATATATTATATTCAAATAATTATCTAAAAAAAACTATTTTATTATTTACTAAATATAAATATTTTCTATAATTAGATTATATTATTTTAATTTAAGCATATGTAATAGCTCTCTGCAAAGACTTAGAACAAAGAGTATGATTGGAACTACAAAATTTGCTTGTTTATTTGTCTTTATTATGTGTGCCTTATCAGACTTTTGATATAATGATTTTGAATTGGTTCATATTTCTAGGATATTATGGTCTATTGATGGATCATTGATAAGTTATATTTTTAATGATGTACCTAATTTTGCACCAAGTTTTTCTTTCTATATTGAATTTATTTTGTTCTAAAGAATTTTTTTCTTCTAATTAATGATAATTATAAAACCGTACTCGTTACTTGGAAAATGGTTTCTACTAGATCCATGATTATTATTATTATTATCATCATTATTTATATATATATATATATATATATATATATTATTTAATACTTGTAGACTTTTCTACATTAAAATAAATAAAATAATTAATTATCACACACTTAAATACTTGATTTTAGTCCCTTTTGACCTAATTAGTAATATGAGTTATTTAATTATATATTTTTTAATAAATAAAATAAATAAAATAATTATATTTGATTTAAATTTTTGTATTGTCTTTTATATTTCTAAAGTTGGTAACAATTATTTCTAGCTTATATTTATTTAAATCTTTTCTGTATATGTCATTGAATCCATCCAAAACTTGTACATCAACTAATTTTAATTTATTTTACCACATTTTTTAAGTAATATAAATTAGAATTTGAAGTACTTTAAATTTGAAGGAAGTAGTAGAATTTTATACAAACTTAAAATCAAATAATAGCTTCCATGATTGAAATATACAAACTCCTTAATAAATTTGATATAGACATATTAGCAAGATTTTGCAAAAATATTTATAGAGATCTACACATAGATAAATAAAACAATTCTAAACAATTTTGTTCATTGATATGGAATGCTTTACAACTTCAAAGTTTTGTAGTTATTTTTTTAAAACCTCCATGGTTGATATTTCCTTGATAAAACAAGAAATAATGGCATCTTTTTGCAAGTATAAAGTTTATACTTGCTAAAAAGAATGACAAGGATAAGAACTTAAAGAATATAAATAAAAAAATAGAGCTTTTATGTTTATTCAAGAACTAAAATGTCTATTGATAATAGATAAGAAAACAAATATATTTATTAGATATAGCCAATTATTTTTTAGCCACTTTTCTAATGATTTTGTTATATGCATTTTTAGATCTTTTTAATTATATATCTTCTTTTTCTTTTTCTTTTTCTTTCTTAAAACCTTTCTTATAATGTATTTTTTTCATATACTATGTCAACAAAGACTACCATCTAAAATATTTGTATTTCACTAAAAATTAAAGTAAAAGATAATAAAAATTAGAACAAAACATACATAACATTTATAAGTCTAACATGGTTAAAATATTAATAGAGACACTTAGACTCATGCCAAACTCTTATTCTATGGTCTTCCACCATAAATTGTGGTCTTTGGACAACTCGAATTTGCATAACATGCTTTCCCTCTTTACTTTATATATATAGAACATTGAAAAAAAACCAAGTGGATCAATGATTAAATGATGAGTCAAAGAATATAACACCCTTTTCTAGTGATTCTATTAAGGTTGAAATGGTTTCCTTCAATAACAACGTGTACTTGCATGTCACCAATTTTTTATCCACATCTTATCTTTACTATAATTGATAAAAGACAACTTCAAAAAACAACCCTCTCTGAAACCTATGACATTTAGCACTATTGGTAATTGCCTTAGTGTTCTTTCAAAAAAATTACTTCGTCTTTCATATGAGACCAGACGCACCAAGTTCGATTTTATACAAAAATCAGGAAGAGGACTGCGATGAGGTCGTGGATAAAATCCGACACTACACAAACTCATATGGAAGTGTTAAATGGCAGAGACCTCTCAAATGCTTTCTTTTTTTGTGTAACAACAATATATAAATGTTTGTCACACATGCACAATCGATCGAAGAAAACATGAAAACTTGTAGGTGAATTGTTTTTAAACTTCACTTAATGAACACATCATCACTACCGAACCTCGCATAAATTCAATACAAAGAGCAGATGATGATCAGTAAGACAGCGCCACACCTCTGCTACAAGCTTCAGATACTATACAAGTTTTTATACACAATCGTATAGGGCTTCGATGTACCTTACAATCAAAGGCACAGAGGGCATCTACTCAGCCCATTTTCGTTGCATTCTTTACAGAAAGTGAACTTACCTTCTTCAGTGATCACTTTACAACTTCCACTGCAAGTTGAACATGGGATGAACCTCACTCCACCACAACCTTCACAGATAGCTTGGGCGCCTTGCTTGGGTAGATCTTCAAGCAACATGCTCAAAATTCCATCTTCATGCAGTTGACTAACCTCCTCTCTACCTCCAATATACTTGCCTCTGATAAACAACCTTGGAACAGGTGCTGCTCTTCCAAGGAGTTTTGTCAATTCATGCCGAAATTCTGCATGAATTGCTATGTCCCTCTCATCAATTTGAACATTTGAATTTTGCAAAATAGTCTTTAATTGGCTGCAATCCTCGAAGGTTTTTCGTATGCCGCGCAAGCTTGTGGTGTACAAAACACATCGCTCTTTCCCACCTGGAGGACACTTCTCATCTTTCTCCAAAGCGTTTATTTTCATTTTCTGCTCTTCAGTATCCATTGGTGCAACCTTCAATGACGGGACTTTCTTGAGTGACTCTGGACGAGAGTGGGGTTTTTCCACATGGTCTTCCAAGATCTCGAATTTATTCAGCTTGACCTTAGTAGAAGTGTAGTCAGGAAGGTCGGATGCATCTCGCAGCCAAGATGGACTATCAAGGTCTGAGATGCTTCCAGAAGTTACGGCTGCCTCACCCTCACCAAGCCGAACAGTGCACCAGTCATCTGCACAAAACATCTCTAAAGCTTCTTCGAAAGACGCTAGCAATTCTGGATCCAATGGTGGACTCTCCAGACGTTCTGCCTCAATTACTTCTGCCTTCGTGACAAGTTCATAGCCGTCAATAATTGCATCCTCCACAATACTTTCTTGTCGTTCTGTGGTGGGAAAGAAAAGAAATTTAGAAGTAACGAGGCATTTGTAATCTTGCCATAAAAAGTATCGCGAACACAACACTAAAAAACACATGTTAGCATAGTCCAAGCAGACATGGTGAGAATGTCCACATTTATCAACAAAAAACTGCTTTACACAATCAGAGAAATTCTTTTCGCCCTCTACATACCTTGAGTTTTTGCATCATGAGGTGCAATAGATGCACCAAACCCATGTTCACAAGTTTTCGGAGCACCATAATTTGTCTTTGTTACAATAAATGACTGGTCTTGAAAAACCTCAGTTTTTCTTCCAGGCATATCTTGGACAGTTACTGATGACTTATGCTCTCTCGGGCGTGAAAGTGCAGCTACAGCAGATGCAACTCGTGGCTCTAGAACTTTTCCAGTCTTTGGTTGGCCAGTTCGACTCCTCTTGTCAGTTGAGCTGAAGTTCAAACTACCCTTGGTTGAGTCAACAGATCTAGGCAAGGTAGTTGTCTTCTCAACAACAGGCTGAACATGACCCTGCAACAAAAATTTACTTTTGCATTCAGAATTAACATCAGACGACATAGAGGACTGCTGAATAAGGCGACTTCTCGGCCTTTGGTGTCCACCTAAGCCCTTTAACATAGGACTTCTCAACACAAGGTCAGGTTGAGACATAAAAATCTCACTCTCATCAAGACTACGACGTGTAGCACCTACTAGAGGCTTAACTATAGGAGGCCTGGCAAACTCCTGACTTCGGGAAAGATTGTTCCTTCTTTCAGAACCAAGTTCCTGACTTCGGAAACCACGACTTTTTTCAGTAGGAATGAACTCTCGACTCCGAGACAGATTTTCCCTCCTTAAGTACTCTAACTCTCTGGCTTCTTCAGTACCCTGCACTGCTTGTGCACGTCGTTTCTGTAACATGGCAGAATAAGTGGTACTCATTTTATCAGAATCCATTACGAATTCATGCGACTTATCAACAGCTAGTGCCTCCATCGAAGAACCCTTTCGCAAACGATAGTCTCTCAAAACAGACTTCCTAGCATCTAAAACACTATCCACATCTTCAACTGTATGAAATGTTGATGCCATCCCATTATCATGTCCAGAAACTCCTGACTCTTCCATCAATCCCCATAAAGTTTGAGATGTTTCTTTCTCATCTTCAAAAAGCTCTGTGAGCCCCCACATACGGACAGTTTCCACGTGCTTCTGATTTGAATGAGGTTTCACACCCTCACGGTTCACACTTCGAGGCAGAGAGTCTAATCGTAATGAACCATATGTACTCGACGTAAGGGATACTACATGATCAACATCAGTTCTCGGATTTTTATAAGAATATTCACCATCTATCACCTGACTTGGTGATGAGTAGCTTCGGGAGAGTTTGCTACAACCAAGAAGTTCTAGTGCATGCGATTCTACACGGCTTTTGGATACTTTGCACCCCATTATTTATCTACTGACTGTAACAGGAAATTAAATTAGGCTAACGAGAAGGACTCGTTCGAAAATTCTGCATTTTGTTCCTCTATTTGATCCTTCGATGCACGCCTCCATTACGATCCAAGCATTGAATCATAATATCGAACAACATACAAGATCCTGAACCACAACATTTTTGTTAGGTTACTAAAGGTGTTTTTGGAATTCAACCGAAGGTACCATAAGGAAATAGGAAGGGTTATACATTAAAAAATAATGATTCGCATGAGTAGTACAGAAAGTAAGGAAAGAAACCTTAGACTATTCAAATGGAGCAACATTAATATTAAAACAAGTGCTGTGATAATAGCACTCATCTCCTATACTTCTTTTCTATAAACTGGAATGGGCTGAGGTACCCAGGAAATACACAGGACCTCAGATGACGTGCAGTAGAATCCACAGATAAAATCACAACTAAATTTAGAAGATGAAACAAAACCAGTCTAAGCTGCATCTCCACAAAACTCGAAGCCCTAAGAACCCTAAATACAGGATCCTGATTTGAAGACGAAATATGCTTTCGAAGAAGCAACTGCTGATATTCCGGAGACAGACGATGTATACGACTATGGTTAGTTGGTAAGAGCATTGAACTGAAGACTACAACTGTTAGCGCAAAGTGATGCTGCACTACCCAGAGAGATTCGCTGGTAATGGGATCATTAATGACCGTTTCAAAAAATAACTCAAGAATAAGAAATTCAAGGCAATTGAGAAAGGACATCGAGACGATAGATTCCTGAAGTACAACAACAAATATCCGGCTGAAACATTTATAGCACAGCAAACCAACCAAATTTGAGGCATGCCTGCTGACTTCACATAAAATACCATACAATTTGAAGTTTGCATTCACCAAGGGAGACCACTCCCAAATCGGCCAAATCCCACACAAAGAGGAGAACACCAGATACTCAGTGCGTTCGGAAGGTGGTCTCAATCCATATGAGGTCAAAGACCTAGCTCTTATAAGTCTATTATTTCATCCCGGTGTTCAGTACAATTTGAGTGAAGCGATTCACCCAAGAAGGGAGGAAGTAAGCCCCACGATCACTAAATAGCTTGAGAAGGAACTTGAAGCATCCCGCAGCGAGTTCCAACTAACACACTTCAGAAATCTCTTCGCATCTGTCCTACAATGCTGTACCTCAGGGGCTTCAAGTTGCAAACACCTGAACGATTGCGTGCACAAGTGACGATGCCACAAATTTCCGGAATGTTCATTGAGTACAACATAGGACCCCACCATGGTCGTTTCTCAACACCCAACTGGACCCTAGATCATCTCGCGAACTTATTTGAGGTCAGTCACCACTCTTCCTTATCGACCTTTTCGACCAACACTAACCTAGGATAACTCACATGATCATACATGTATAGTATTAACCCGAGACTGGATATTGAGCAGCACAGTGAGCAAAAGCCACCAGGCATCCTGGACATCGCTTGTGCTAAATACACCACCTTCGTACACTCAAGTCGCTCAACCATGAATTTTACTCCATCTTCCAGAAGAAGGCAATCAGGAAAATGCCAGAAACGAAGCAGTTGGAGTGGAATTACGAGGTCCTAACCCTAGATTAAAACCAAGGTAAAAGTAAATTCGATGATGTAATCCAGGAGAAACAAGGGACCCAGACTTGGGCGAGGTTTCAATCTAAACAAAGCTCTCCAACTTCTTGCTGAAAAACGGAAATACTCCTAATCGTCGTAATCTATACGTTATCGATCCAGCACTGAAGAGAAACCAATAGATCCAGGACATCGTCACGTAAAATTTATGAAAGTATGGTAAAGTCGAAAAGGATCGTCAACTTTAATCCAAGCAACGACGGCCTGCCTCCGTGCAAGGAGGATGGATCGATAAAGACAGGTACTAACAACATTTCCAGCGAAACTCTTAACGCGGATAGCCCTTGCCTGTTCACAGCGACTCGTTTCTCCCGCTGCCGAACGAAATCTTAACTTATCCGCATATTTCTCCAGAGATGGTGACTCCAGCATCATCATTACGACCGACCATGCCTAGGACCAAACGGTTTCCTCCAAAGCTTACCAACGAGTTTCGGAGAAAATCGAGGGTAGCTCGTTCCTAGACGATTCTTGAAATTAAAAATTAACACAAATCAATTCAATTGAGGCAAAAGGTCCACTCTGGTCAGCTGGGTTTATTGTTTGCACTGTGCATGCGTCGAAATAGGAATTCCTGACCAATTTGGGTTCCAATCGCCAGCGCTGAAGCACTACGCCGTAACTTACACTTAATTTAATCCGGTTACTGGTACCCACATTTTAAAGATTGCAAAACCTCACGACTAAAAGAAGCTTGCTAAGTATCAACCAATCAATATAATAAGGAGCTGTCAGCGCTGAAAACAAAAAAAAATCAACCATCACTGCAGCACGAGTTGAAGTAACTCAATTCTGGAAACCGAAGTTCTCGAACAAGCTTCACTAGGCGGTTCTCTCGTTAGAATACGCACTCAAGCACGTGAAAGATGAAAAACGCGACCACGATCCCTTTGCCATTCTCCCACTCCCATCCTCACATTTCCGCTCCATCCTTCACATCACAGACCATATCCGCAACCATCTCAAAACTGTAAGAAAGAAGAATATACCTCAACCCCACTGCTGCTATATCTCGAAACACCGAACATCGCAGCCATCTCTCTATGGAACTGTAAAATATCAATCCCTCCAATTTCCCCAAGCTCCGCTGAACTGGTGATGAAATCCTGCCCTCTTACAATACCTACGAGACAACCTGCACGAACATCGCCAGATAAAAGAGTAATTTAAGCATGTAGCATGGAAAAGCCAAGAATGCCACAACTATTCATGGCCTGCCTAAAATACGCAATGTCACAATCACAGTCGCAAGATTATCACAGGGAGAGTTCACTACCGCAGATCATTCCTCAAATTTAGTATGAGCAGTGCAATACGCAACACTGCCGACAACAAAGACAAAGAACGTAAATATCTGACAAAATCCCTGAAGAAACTGAAGCTATCCGCCGATCCTCACCAAAAACACATCAAGAACTACACAATTTTAAAAACTTTGTATACAATCCTCTAAGCACGGATGAATCCACCGAACCTCTACCTACCGCAACTCGAAAACCTGCACCCTCAACTACAACCAGGCCACGTCGTCGCCCTCCACCCTTTGTGCACTACGCTTCCCAACCACACCCTCGAGAAAACCTCACAAAACCTACTTCCCCTCCTTCGTCTCAAAATAAAAATAAAAAATAAAACCTACAACAACAAAGATGCTCCCTGCACCGAGCTCAAAAACGTTGCCAGGTTCTAAGACGCACATCAACACTACCGATCGGCTCATAAATCGAACTCCACTTCGAGACGATAAAATCCCTCTCAATTCCAGGCACTGACGGCACTCTGACTCAAGCCCTGTGCCTCGAAATCGCTCGCACATGTCAATTACCGTCTCCCGATGCAAACACACAACACTCTTTCCCTCTCACGATGACGTCAATCAAACAACAACAACAACAAAGCACAATCGCAATGGAATTTCGAGAAGCTCCCCCCAGTCTCCTCTGTCCTTTTCTTTCCTGTGTGTTTCTTTCTAAACCGACGGCCCAGATCCACACTCTTTTGTCTTTAACGGCCACGATGTCGTTCCGGAATTGGCTTGAAAAGATGATGCTACCGTACGATCTGCTCGAGCATCGGACGGCTCGGTTGACCCCGCCCAAAATCTCAAGCGCATTGCTTCTCCACGTCTCTTCAGGCAGCACCTGGTGGGCATCTGACGGTGGAAAAAATACAGCTGCGAGGAGAGATCTGACGGCTGGTGAGGAGAGCGGCAAATCGAACAGGGATTTGTCAGTGTGAAGGGCTACCAGGCGTCGAGGTTGGATGCATTACGGATTTGTTTTAAGAAGTGGTCGTGTGTGAATCGGATTCGTGCAAATCCGCGTCAAAATAGTGTGGATTCCTGAATTGAAATTTGGCTCAGTCTGACTCTGACCCTGTCACTGGCTCGTCCTCGCCTCTGACCTACTTTAGAACCCCTGTTCCCTTACGTTCCTCATTGTTCCCTACTGTTCCCTCTGTTCTCGTATGTTCCTCTATGTTCCCCGTTAGTTCCCCGTGTGTTCCCATCTGTTCCCCGTATGTTCCTCATGTGTTCCCCGTTTGTTCCCCTCTGACATAAATGATTTTTAATAATATACTAATGTGCAATATGGTGAAATTAGGTGGTTAAAACTTTAGACAGAGGAGATAAGAATTGTGACTTTGTGACCAAGTATGGTTCAAAATAGTATTAAGAATGATGGGTTGTGTAACATGTTGGAGTGATCATCACTCATTCATTCTACTTATTATTAACAAATTGATGATTGAGAAAGATTGGAGTGAGTGATGGTTCCATGTCATGTGTTTGTTGTTCATGAAGATCATGTACTTTTGATGTTTACCATTCTGAAAGGTGTACATTTTTTTGAACGGGATTCACATGGGAGCAATAATAATAATTATAATAATAATGGGTATTGTTGTTATTGTTATTGCAACTATTACAGCTACTATTCTCTAGTTGGTAAAGATTTGATTTGGGCAAACATACATTCATGTTAAACATCAATATGCTCAACTTTCATTGGTGGTCTTAAAACTATAAAACAATAAATAATAATAAAATAGTGTTTTTGGTTAATGATTACAAGTAGTGACTTAGAATCAATGACAGAAAACTAAAGTATTTTTATATAAAATTTATTTTTTTTAAATTTTAAATTCATGTGATTGTTCTTGTTTGAATTTTGTTTTCTTGTTTTTTTGTAAAGCTTTCGGTTATAACATGATTTCTTATTCTTTTCGAAAACATCTAATTTAATTTAAAATAGTAACAAAATTACATAAGAATTAATGTTATTCTAAACCATATAAAGGTTCAGTAAACTAAAAAATTTCATCAATAAGTAGACATCTATATATATATATATACATATCTAAAGTATAAATAATCAGAAATAAGGAATACATCAAACTTCACATTCACTTTCAAAAATTGTGTTGATGATTTAATACAGTAATTGCTTTAAAATGTATTCCAAAAAAAAAAATCTTGTAAAATTATGCAAACATGTGTAGTTGAAGCATATAGTACTCCAATTTATTGATATTTATTATTTATATCAATGCATTCATAACAAATTCCAACTATTCTTAAGCCAATTTGATCCCAATTATAATGTTTGACAATCTCGCTGCAAAAACCATGGTGTTAATGTACACGTGTTTGTAAAGTAAAACTTTGATTCAATGGCACATAACAAACATGTTAAGTTTCCCACATAAAATGCAAGAACATGATTATTTCAACTTAAATACGATTTCTAATTCGCATAGGATCAAGAATGTTACTGCCATGTACCCAGACTTGATTTATTCATCAAAACTCAATATTTTAGTAAACACGCACCTAAGTGGTATTGTGAGTGCTTTGAATACATCATTTGTAAAAAAGTTCTTACATGGTAGAAAATACCACTGGCCGGTATATTCATATGCAAACTATGTGCTCTGATAGTGCTGTCGAATTTATTCATTTCAGTTGACAAACCCGAACCTGATGCACGTGTTTGTGACTGTTGAATGTAGTGTAAGGTGCAGGCAGGTGACAACAAGAGCTCCAAAGTAACTGAAAAACAAGGCGAAGAATGCTAAGCACCTCATGATCATTAAAGCTCATTAACGAACAAGATTCACAAAAAAAATAAGATCTCATAAAAAACTGCACCCTAAACCATGGCTCGTGAGAAAAAATAATTTTCTCGCATCTATAGTAGAGCGTATTCTTCACACTTCCTTTAAATTTGAGTAACCCTGAACAATCGTAAATAATGTTGCCTCTGAGAATGATACATGACATCAGCTGAGAATATTCAATATCACTGGAAATTATTCACTAGTTACAGTGGGTTCAACATCTGGTGTAACCTGTCTGGTGACCTCATCTGATAACAACAACATTTCCTCGAACCCACGAATCCCTGGTGTGTGCCCTCAGAAACATTGCAAGGGATGGAAATACACCTATTGCTTCAAAGCTTTAACTGCCTTCTTTGCTGCATCATCAAGATCATCAGCTGTGATGATGGTCATACCGCTTTCCTGCACCAAGCACCACGGGAGTTCCACACGTATATTAGCATTCCAAAATTAACCGTAAATTCTAAGTTTGCCACCAATACACCTGACCTAACGTCAGAATCGCACGACGAAGGTAACATAATTCTGATACCTTCAGGATGGTCTTCCCAACATCCACATTCGTACCCTCCAAACGTACTACTAGTGGAACTTTCAAATTCACCTGCAGATTCAACAATTTCGGTATTAAAAGAAGTCTGCCAGATCGTCGTTGCTAACCCTCAAATCCCAATTAACCTAATTTGGATAAATGGTGCACAACCTTGCTTATTTCGTAGCTTCTCTATGCAACCATAAATTTTGTTAACCCAAATTTCTCAGATGCCAAAACTGGTTTAGCACCAAATCAGCCAAGAAAAATAATGAACATGCTTATGTATAGACTTCCATATCAGAATGTTACGAGTATTGAAGGAACAAAACTCAGCAAAACATTCTTCTGCCACACTTAGACAAGTATACCTGTTTAGCAGCAGCCACAATTCCAGCAGCAATAACATCACACTTCATGATCCCACCAAAAATGTTCACCAGAATAGCTTTCACTCTCGTGTCGGAAGTCAGAATTTTAAAAGCTTCCACAACCTGCACAAGCGACATATCAAGGTCGGTTAACTATCAACGAACATACCACCCAATTGCTTCACAACAGCAACAACTACAGCTATGGTAGTTGATTACATGGTTACATGATTGCAATGGACTAAATTCCCAACAACGTTACAAACCCGTTTACTTCAATCTTAACCATATTGCAAGCTGAATATACACCAAAAGTTAACGAGAACGTGATGGATTGCTAAGTCAAGCAGATGAGCTGGAACCAAAGCACACCTGTTGCTCAGTTGCGTTGCCACCCACATCCAAGAAATTGGCAGGGGTCCCTCCACTGAGCTTAATGATATCCATTGTAGCCATTGCAAGCCCCGCTCCATTCACCATGCATCCAATTTCACCATCCAATCCTATGTAATTCAGGTCCACCTTTCCAGCAGCAACCTAAGGAAACCACGACACTGGCAAGTCCATCAAACTGGAAGTAATTGAGATTGTTTCCAAAGCAGATAATCTTCGTATTACAAAGTGCAGTTCAACAGATGTTATATCATACAGAAAAGTACTAAGCTGTCTACAACAAACCTCACGAGGGTCTTCCTGTGTTGTGTCTCGCATGGCAAAGATTTCCTTTTGACGGAAGGCTGCATTGTCATCAAAGTTAAGCTTCGCGTCGGCGGCCATCATAACTCCTGTTGACGTTTCTGCCAAGGGGTTGATCTGAAACCAAATACAGATGATGCAACATAAGCTCAACCCTTGTTAAACCCCTTGACATAGAGTATCTGTAAGTACTGCATACTTGAACAACCACCATAAGGACTACAAAATAATCTACCTAGAGGCATCAAAGCCTGCTGACACGAAGACGATAACCAACGCAGCGTTCAGTCACGTGTGGAAAAGACAGAAAAATACAACCTAAACTATAACCAATGGAGAAGAATAAAAAAGATTAAAAAAACACAAAAACAAAACAGAAAAATCACGGTAGAATCCAAGAAAGCGAGTAAGACTTGAAACCAAAGCACTGAAAGCCTGACTACTGTATGATAAAAGCCCAGGTATTCACTAATGGAATGAATTTCAAATACAGCAAGCTAACCACAAGTACAACGGCAGAGAAACGGTATACCTCAACTTGAGTACAGTCTGTTTCTGTGAACAACTTGTAAAACTTCTTAATTTGGTCAATGCCTTGCTGCATGTCGACCTTCTTTGGAGCCAATCCTTTCACAACTTTCTCGGCTTCTTCATCTGAAATACCTTTGTTGATGTTGATTGGAACCTGCACACTTAGAGCTCACAATTTCACCTCACATGCTACTGCTAAATCGTTATATGCAAGGAAGCATAATCCCAGAACAAGATAATAATAATAATAAAAAAAAAACGGCCTGTAAGTCTCTAATTACATTCTGCAAACATCAAACACAAATACAAACACCAACACAAAGAAAACCTTGATAATCTGATCCGGATATTTCTCAGCAAGGTCCTCTATGCTGGTTCCACCCTTAGCGCAAGCAATCATGACCTGCCAACACCACCTTCAGATTTAGTCCTAACAGTACCATCGTATAACAAGTACAATCGATCAAGTGCTTTGCTTACAAATAACACAGATAAAAAAAACACAGCGGTCATTATCCATTCCTCCTGCGCAGGAAAATAGAGCTGAAGAACTGAAGAAAAAATTACAGTAAAAGTGCAAGGTTACAATCACACTTTAAAACTTAGTGCCACTAAAATCGTTCCTTCCAAGTGCTCGTACGGGTGAAGACCGAATAAATAAGTTTTTCTTTTTAAAATCAGGGGAGATGCACTTACTGGCCCCGCACTAGCTCGATCTAAAGCAATGGCAAAATACATCTCGTTGATTAAGTTGAGCTTTTCACACAAAAACACCTGAATCCAAAACAGCCAACATAAGCAACCTATACTCGTACAAGTTACAGAGGAAGACGAAAGCATAAAACCACAAAATAAAAGTAACAAGAGAGCTTTGAATCTAATGAAAACATACCCATCAAAGCTGGAAAAAAAACTCTTCGTGGTCATATAAATTACTTCAAAAAAAATTCACTTGCATCATGTACCAGCAAAGCCTTCATACATAATCATGTAGAGTACAAGCAAAAGAAAGCATCAACAAAAGAAATTATCACCTGGTTCACCGGTTTTCCCTCTGCTCCAGTCTGCTTAGTCACCAGGACCTGTCCAAGCATTTTGCCTGCCAAAGTTACATCCACCAACTTAATACCCCACGACTTGAATAAATAGAGTGGCACTTCGACCGAATCCAACATTCAGCGACAATAATAAACTTGACAAGTGCCGATTTGAGGCTCGTTCGGATGATGCTCATTCGGACAATGATAGAATCAACAACATGCCTAGTCTAATAAAGAAAAACATAACCAAATTGTTCTACCCCTCTAGAACCAGCTTCTATCAAAATGGAAAGGAGGGTGTACCTGCCATCTCCTCCACCTGGTCTCTCTTGACAATGTGAACACCACCCTTAAGTCCATTCTTGAAAGTACCTAACCCTCGACCACCTGCCAGCACTTGACTCTTGACCACCAACTGCATGCAGCACTAGATCGCATTAACGAACTGAAATTGCACATCATCCTGCAAGCAAACGCTGAAGATCGAATCGAAGTTGGACCGGCCAAAACTGAAGCAGGAGACGAGAATCAGAAGCGCAGCAGAGCACAAGAGGATCACCTCTGTGTCATCTAGAAATTGCTCCTCGAGAACTTTAGCGATCTCGGACGTGGAAGAGACAACGGCACCCTTGGGCACATTCACTCCGAATTTGCTCATCAATGCAGCGCCCTGAAAAAAAAGCAGAGTGAGAGAGGCTCAGTACAGGGGCAGGAGGTATCGCGCACGGCAAAACAGAGCAAAGAGCAAATACACGCACCTGATACTCATGGATGTTGAGAGATCGCGACTGCTGGTGGAGACAAGGCAACGGGGCAGGGCTTGAGCGAGCAGCGAGGCGAGCCAGAAGGCGGGAGGCCACATGGCGCACCATGTCGACGGAGGCAGGAGCGACGCCGAAGAGGATCGGAGTCCAGCAACGGGGAGGGGCACAAATTGAAAGTGCACTGAGAAGCCACTCAACCAAGCAAGCAACAAGCAAATCAAAGCAACGCAACGCCAAGCAAGGACGAGGAATTAGGGTTTCAGGCCCGCTGCGGTGATGGGGCGCGACGCCCGTCACTCACTGCCAGTGTTACTGGGAACTGGAAGTTCCCCTCGCGGGGATCCAATCCCATGCCCGCTCACATGTCCCAAGCCCGCGTCCTGTGCGTCACCGCCCGTTCCCACCGTCTCCGAATCGCAGGCCATCCACGCTGGCAACTCGCGATGACGTCAGCTCGACTTGAGTGGTGCGTGTCACCACCGCAGGGACGCTGACCCTGTGACGTGGAACCTACGTGTCTGATCCTACTTGTCCTTTTCCTCGTTCCTTTTTCGATTGGACTTGGGAAAGGAGAAGTGATTCTTGGTGAGGGTAAGGTAGAGTAAATCTAGTAGTCCCTCTTTGGTAATGGAAGAGGAGTGGAGTGGGACTAGATATAAGTTATAAAAGTAATTATGTATTGTGTGTAGAGGATTTTAGTGTTAAAATTGAAGAGGGCTTTACAAGAGATAAATGTGTTTCAGAATTGTTAAGATGTCAATATTTTACAGAATATAAAGAGTTACACCATATTGGAATGAAAAGAAGGAGGATAAAATAGAACAAATAAAAACCAGACAAAGTTTACAGCACTAATACAGTCATGTGAATGGCTTCAACAAGATTAATTGAAGACATACACTTCATCTTGTGTGTGTATATATATGTATATATATATATATATATACATTGTTAGGATATTTACATGAAAGTTATTTTCAACTTGTCTATTGGTGCACCACCCAAATCAATGCTAAAAGATGGGGTGTGGTTGTTAACAGTATTTTGCTTTCATCGCTGTTTTTCTTCATATCAGTATGGGGGAATAGAATAAAGAATTGCAGAAGTGAAGGCCTCATTGGGAGCCTTTCTCACCTTTGGGACAACTGAATGTTCTAGGTCAAAATTATGATGGATTCAATATTGTCAACCTAGAGACAAAAGAGGCATTAACTTTATACATTTAAAAGACACCATCACAACACTAAAAATTAAGTGGATTATCAAAGCATTAGAACTAGGGCAATTAAATCTCCAACTCATGATGCAATATTGGTTAAGGCACTTCCAATCATATATGAGAGGAAGATGGTCCCTAAGCCTCATCTACTGCACTCTTTATGCACTCAAAGATTACCTTTGAGCTTCCACAATGTGAGGAATAATTGTTGAGTTACAGCCTGTAGCACTGCTCTACTATATCATTAATTGGGTTGGATTTTCCTTATCTTCAAGCATCTTGCCTTCATGAAGCAGGTATGCCAGCTTATTGTGACATACGTACTACGGTGATGTTTATGTTTATTGTAGCCAAAGAGGCAGAAGATCAATTTGGGCCACTTCACAACAAATAACAGGCTTGAGAAGTCGCTCTAAGCCAATTAAATGTTGCATGGGATCATCTATGATGTCCCACAATAAGTCAGTTCATGATGAGAGAGTGATTAGGTATTTGTAATGCGACAGGAGACCTGCTACCTTGTACAGTGGGGTACAGAAATAATTCGAATTTTTTTTCAAAGTGAATCAATGTTAGAAATCACTGAACTTCAAAAAGCTCCAGCAGTGTCAAAAATGAACGCATTTTTGAGCCGTAAAATGCATTGCGAAGATAGTAGAATCTAGTTTCATGGTGTAATAAGTTTGCATTATAAAGTTGTGAAAATATACATCAAGAGAGCTTTTTGTTACATAATATCTACCATCTCGTACTACCACCCCCAGCTGCAATCACCGCTTGCATCCTATAAGGCATAGTGGAAATCAATGTACGAAGCCACTCTATAGATATGGTATCCCATACGGATTGAATTTTTTCTATCATTTCTAGCTTACTATTAGGTCTACTATGATGTTTGAGCAAATCTTTTACAACCATCCAAACGTTCTTTATTGGATTCAAGTCCGGTGAATTGGCAGGCCAAAACAACTTTTCTATACCATGAGCACGTCTCCATTGCAGTGGCAATGAGCTATGGTGGACTGGAGCGCCATCCTCCATCAATATCAATTGCTTAGGGTCATCATGTAAGAAATAAAAGCCACTTAATACTCCTTCATAAACAATAGTGACAAAATCCCTTGCTGATCTCTTATCTAAAGGAATGATGACCAATGGAGACTTATCAAAGCCAGTAAAGGCACCCCAAACCATCACTGAACTACGTCCAGACTTAAAACTTGGTGCTATACAATCCCAATTATATTTTTCGTACGCCTTCCGCCACACTCTAATTTACCGTGGATTTTTGCCAGTTTCGAATGACGACTCATCCGTCCAAATAATATTACACCAATCTTCAAACGTCCAACTCTCATAAGCACGTGCAAATGCAAGCCTATCTGCTTTATGTTTGACATTCAAATAGGGCTTTTTAGGTGCTATACAATTTCTAAAACCAAGCTCACTGAGGTAGAATCGAACAGTAGTTCGGGAAACACTCACCAAGTTTGCAAGTTCTACCAGAGTATGCCTTCTATTTGAACTGACAGCATGACATAACACCCGAAAATCCCGCTCAGACAACTTCCTGGGTCTGCCACATTGTGATTTCAATGACTCCACACTTCTATGGACCTTCCAATGACTCAAGATAGTTGAAATGGTGGAACAGGGAGCACTGAAGACTTCTGCAATGTCCTTACACTTCATCCCAACCTTCCTCATCCCCACAATCTGATTCTTCTGAATAGGGGACAATGTTTTGTACTTCATGGTGCTTGCTGTAAGCCTTCAAATAGCACAAACCAACTTCTAGTTTGAAGGAGAGGAGTCACTGAAGCTAACGATGTCCAAAACCAAAAAAGAACACTTCTAAAATCTGTATGTGCTTCACAATCTCAATCTGTGGCAGTGCAATGTGCTTCACATCTTCAGATGGATTATATAAGTCACCCCATCCAAGCATTCTATGCTATCACTCCATTTTGCTGGCTGCATGCATGCCTAATTGCAACTATGATTTTTTAGCTCACCTAACCACTTCCACATTAATCATCACATTTGCAATCTGCTTTTGAAGACACATGGCTAATTACATGCAATTAGACACCTCTTGCACTCCAAAAATAGATGGCCAAGTGTCGGGGAAAAATTCCATCCAACATGATCACAACATTCAATTGAACAACAAGATTTTTTTAGCAAAAGTGGTGCTCTAGAAAAAAATTCGAATTATTTCTGTACCCCACTGTACAGTTTTTTAGACTTGTAAAGAATACATACTGACCTGAGATGCAATCTGTTACTGGATTCTCCTCTTGATACAAACATATCAGATACAAGCAAATACTTATAACTTAGTAATTTGGTTGATCGTTTTATGAGAGGCCTTGAGCCCTTGCACAAGCCACATTATAGGCATCCCAAATGATAGGAACTAATCTAAAATCTTACAAACTAAAATAGAATAATATTTGGGATAGATAGAAAGAATGCAAAGAAGCTGGCCTTACATGACTCTTATGCCATCAGTCAATAGCTGTTAATGTGTGGAGAGGTCAAGTAAGTGATAGAATTGACCAGTGTTGTCATACTTTCCTCAAAAGACAACAAGGAATGATATTATACAAATTTTGGGAATGTGTGCTGGTGTTGTGAGTATAGTTATGGAAATTCAAGGTATTCAAAATATATATATATATATATATATCTCCTCTCTGCCTAGCCAGCCTATGAGTGCAAGCAAGTTGCTGAGTATAGGGGTCAGAAGAGACATTGTTGATGAAAATAATATACATGATTTGAGTTAAGGATAAAGAGGCATTATGTCAAGAGGTGCTATCCAACCCACCATAGACACAGAAAAAAGAGGAAATATTGTTAAACCTTCACCTCAGATGGAAACATGGTATTTTTGCATAGAGAATAATGTGGCAATATAAGAAAAGCTAGCATGTTGTGGCTACTATTGCAGGGGATCATTATGTGACATTTGTGGATTTAGCATAATTATGCAACATTAAATAGTAGACATCAGCTAAAGAAAACAATACACAACATGATGTGGCTCATCCTTGTCAATTGTGGGATGCTTGTGTTGAGCATTGACATAGTCAAAACCAAGAAGTCCCTGACAATGCCAAGGAACACATCAATGGTGTTTACAATGGTCTAGGTTGTACGTGTATCTTGATGTTTTCCTTGGCATGTGACACTTCTAGAGAGGATTTGAAATCAGCAAAGCTTCAACATAACTTTCCTAGGGATATGGCATATTTTAGTAAAAAATACAACAGGAAAATTCTACGCAAAGAAATTACCCCTACATATGTAATTCAGTTTCAGAACTGTTTCCAGGCCATGCATAGTGTACATACTCCCAGGTAATTTGTAGTTTATTTCACCAAATTCTATTATGAATTTCTAGCATTACTTCGTCTTTTTCACAAGGGAGCTGACGTAAAGGTGACGAACATAGGTAGTGCTGGCGACCGTGACCAGGAGAAGAGCCGTGGCCTTGGGGTGTAACCATGGGCAAGGTGCCGCGGAGGGAGGGAAGGAGGAGGCGAGAGAGAGACGGAGAGAGAGACCAGGGGAGGGGGTGCCATGGCCCCGTAGCTCGTCACTGCGGACACCCCTTGACACGATCCGAGCTCGCCATTGCCCCGTCGCGCTTGTCATGGAGGTCTTCCGTGACTTGCCCTGCGTGGCCGAGCTTTCGGCGTTTTGCAGGTGCATTTCACTATCTCTCTCAGTCAGTCATGCGAAAGTGCATTTTCATTCTCAGTTAGGGTGTCGGATTGTCCCGGACTGTTGTGCCCTGTTTTGGCGATCAGCTCTGGATGTCGAGAACTTGAACATTGTCCTTTGGTCTGCTCGTTTGCTTGGATTAGTGCAACTTTACTTTGATAGTTGGAGAGTAATGTTGCTTTCTGCATTGTTTGTCTTTTCGGGCCTGGTTAGGGTTTGTTTGTTGGTTTGGTTGTTTATGTATTGCGGTAGGTTTGGGATGTATGGCCTGGAGGAGGTTCTGAAACAGGATTTCACAGGCAGGATGCCGACAAGCGCGAGTTTACTGACGAGCTGCGCGGCATATTGGAGGTTTCCGCCATGACCGGACTGTATTGGTAAGTTCACAGTTTGGCGGGGTTTGAACTTTGCGCGTCGGAGAATGGGGAATTGGATGAATTTCTTGACGGTGTGAATCGGCAGCGGTGTGTCTTGTTCTCAACCTCGGCTTTGTTGCGTTGTCGTTTCGCCAGGCATAGATGGAATGAGCTCAAGGAGCTTCTTCTTTTCCGGCTCAAACAGGTATGGCTTCCGAATAAGGAACTTCATAGGTTTCTTCTGCTATTTCATGCTTTGTCGCGTTAATTTTATTTCATTTGAACTTTTGCGTAGAATGTTCGTGTCCTTTCTGAATTTCAGTTCTGTCATCTCTCAGCGAATCAAAGTGAAGAATCGAGGATATTCATTAAGAGCTCTTGGGAATGCTTGGATGTGGCGTGTCGATTCAGGTACTGCAAGATTATTACAAAAGTCATGCGGATGTCACAGTTGGGCCCCCAAGACCACTTGTTACTGGTGAAAGCTATCAGGAGCTCGAAGACAGGCTCACCTCAGGTTCCTTTCACTCTTCTCTGCTTCCTCCCTCGGAATTTTGAGGATGTTGATTTATGAAAATGTAGTCATCGTTTTCAGAGATGTCCTTTTTCTTTTCCGTTTTAAGAGCCTTGTGCTGAAATCGGTTTTCGATGTGGGAGCAGGATTGGAGTCATTCACAGATGGAGCACCCTTCACACTTCAGCGCTTTTGTGAGGTTAGCGAGTCTAACTTTATATCCTTCTTGTCGAAGCGTATGCTTTATGATGACATTTGTGCAATCCAGATAAAATTAGTTTCTCAGGTACAACTTGGAAATGAGGTTTACGGAGATATTGGAAACTTTGTTCCTTGAGCCCTTGTTGCCTCGGCTTAAACTAAATACTTCAGCCATGATCGTATGGTCGTATTGGTTTTTGGAGATATTTGAGGATATATTTTCAAGTTTACATAGTTTCTTCTTTCACGATCTTGCTTTAAAAATAACATGAAATGTAAGGAAAAAGAATTTAGTTATTGATGAAGGTTCAACGATGAGTGCATTGTCAATAGGTGTTGTTGAATCCTCGAGACAGGTATCCCAATCTTGACAAGGTTGCCCTCGCCTTTGAGAAGGTTAGTGTTTAGTCCGCTTGATTTCGCTTCTTTATTTATTTTTTTCGTGATTTATGTGTAATCGTTTGTTTCCTCGTCTGACGCTTCAAACCCAACCTCACTGTCGAATAAATTAACTCACTACATTTCACTTGTTGTCTCGTGTCCTCAGCTGCTGTTGGTGACATCAACCTTTGCACCATCACCAGGACCATACCCTGGGGTTGCATCAGTGCCAGCACCAACGCCCATACCAGCGAAGGACATGGATCAGAAACCCTTGGGGTCGCCGAAGAGGGAGAATGTAGATTCAACTCCAGATGTTACCGGTAAACCCAACGATGATCTAGTGCGAGCTGATCACATGGAGGAACCTGCAGCAGAAGTTGTGGCTGATGTGGAGATGGTTGATGTTGACAGCCCAGAATCCAAGGAGAGATCAGTAGATGTTGACACGTCACAACCTTCAGAAGTGGTTGCGGTTGGAGAAGGTTTAAAGGAGAGTGCATCAGAGGTTCCCACTGGCAAGGAAGAGTGGCAGCTGGTTGACGAAGCAGATGCCTCAGCTGCACCGTCAACTGAAACGAGTTTGAAGAATGCCTCAATGGTCGATTGCAATGAGTCTCAAGCGGATGTTACGGCAAGCGGTCCATAGGGGTTTACACGTCGTCACAAATCAACTCCCTTTGAGAATCTTTCTAGCAAATGTTCCCCCTCATGTGCGTCCTTCGAACTCGTGGGTCAGTGTTGATCACCGTCGATCCCAATTTTGGTCTTCAGCTCCTTCCATATTTCGGAGAGGGTCTCACAATCTGGAAGGGCTAACTGCTCACCAAAAACCCTAAACCTGGTGCTCACCAATGAAAGGACAATGCAAAGAGTATCCTAGTTACGAAGAGCTGTTGATTTGATAGGTTAGTTGAAGTGCAGAAAACTTCCACGAGTTTGGAAACTGAAGCAAGTCAATATTAAAATGCTGTGTAACTATCATATATTTTTACTGTCAATGCTGTACATTCCATTTGGCATTTCTGATCTTCCTTTTACTGCTTGACCACATGCTTGGAGCCTGAAACGCATGATTTATCAAAGTTGCATTGTTTGAACCGTGGTGGGGGCATTACGTGTCCAGCTTTCCACAGAAATATTTGGCTAATGCACTGCCTAGGGATTCAATGCTTGCTGTGGGCGTGTGCCTACGATTGTTTGCCTGGCTTCGGGTACGGAACCGCGTCATATCTTTTCACATACTCTCCTTTCATCGAGTGGGTCCAATCCGAAGATCAGTAATAGCACCCTAACATCGATAATCTCTCATTCTCATATCATTCTCATTCTCACAACAAACCCTATCGCAACCGTTTGGAGAAGTGCTCACCTCAGCAATTGACTTCACCAACCTCCTCGGTCATGACTCCCATTTTCCACTTAACGCAGATTGATGAAATCAGTGTTAAGAAGGAAAGAGCAACGTAAGTGTGACTCTTCACGATGGTAGTTGTCAAGACCTTCTGATTTGCATCCTTTAGGTATTGTTCACCAAAACCTGAACCAATGAGGTGTTTCTTGAACTCATCAGTTTGTTAACCATTCTGTAAACATGATGGATCTGCGTTTCTTTCATTCACTTTGAAGTAGTGGCGATGAGTTTTGTCATTTCTGATTTGGTTCAAGGCTACTTTTCCACTATTGATTCTCAATCAGAGCTCACAGGATTTGTCATCTCTTGACGAAGTCGGTGTTGTTCACCAATCTGAAATGTTGAAAACACAGTTGGGTCCCTAATTATGGTTAGTTTAGTTTACATGAAAAAACGCTGATTAAGTTCAATTCAATGTAATGCTTTGTATGTCTGTGAGGATATGCATATTTGATATTGATATTTATGCTCAATTGAATTGGTGGTCAACAAATGGTGCTGAATTTCAGAATTTTGCTACAATTGAGTATCAATATTTAATATATAAACAAAGAAGAAGAAAAAGAAAAATGTGTGAAAAGTTCAAAAGCAAACTAAATCAATATAGAGTAGAACAGAATGGTGTAAAAATGCATGATAAAGTCTTATTTGTTTACATCATCATAGATTAGACTTAGTACAGTACTTCATGTTCCATAAATACTGAATGATTTGACCCTTAAAGTATAAAGTATTCATTGTGATGCACAACAAATGACTTCTTTTTCTATAACAAAGCACCAATTTTAGCAATGAAAGAATAAAAATAGCTCCATTGAAAACATCAAAAGTAAACAAAGATTATAAGTATAGAATGTGTTGTTTTCATGTGGTGATGTTATTATTTTATGTTTTTAACTGAACATTTCAAACTTGTGTGTAAATTTCTAATAAGATCCACCCACATTATCAAACGCACATGGTAACATTTATGGACACAACGTACAATTATTTATATATATATAAAAAAATCATCCCCATATATATATATATATATATATATATACCATACAATGAAGAAAAAGCAATTTGGCTTATTTTCCCAACATGGGTGGTTGAGGAGGAGATTTTCCCCCATATCTCAAACAAATTGATGCCAAGTAGTGCTTCTTTTCTTTGTAATCTGAATATACATCCTTTGCTAAACCTCCTCGCTTAAAGCACTCATTTAAATGCTTTTGGAAAAATGAGAATTCAGAAACTCGTTTAATAGGGACTTTCATGTATGCGGCATGGCATGCGGCTGACATCATCTACACAGCAATAAACCAATAAAATTACATAAAGTGCTTTGTATGATAACTATGATCAATAAGTTCATTTCTTTTATTTTAAAGTTGAAATCAATTATATCTTTGAAAAAATTATTATGCATGCTCATTAGAGAATCTCTATTTATTTATTTATTTATTTATTTTTAAGATAGTTGAATTTTGAGTTATAAAAATACATGTGAAAATTACATATGCAAATTACCCTTTTAAATTCTGCAATTCCAAATGTGAGTTTGTCAGTTGGAAGTGGTGTAAACTCACTCACATCCTAAACAAAGTAATAAATTCAATTGTAGGCTTAGTTATCTAAAAGTTAGGGTATCTTGTATATGTATTGTTAAGCTTGAAGCTTAAATATTCAAGGAGATTTAGTTTCTATCTTATAATTCTATTCTTTTGACAGAACCCGTTGATTCCACAACTCCATTTCACATCATTTATTTATATTCAAACATAGTTATTATTATTTTATTTTATTTTAATTTTCCTGAACTTTTTTCTTCACTCTGATTCAAGAATGAACTTATACACATTTATGATTCATTATTTTCATTTATTTTCTTCACCATTGGTCATCTATGAAATCAGTTTATAATTGTGACTATTTCATTATATATATATATACCAGATTGTTTTGTAAGGCAAAAATAATAGCCAATATGGCAACTTCATGATCAAACTCATCACCCAATATTTTCCATTTCTTCATTTGAAAAAAAATACAAAACAGAAATCAAACATAAATTTCACATTATCAATAGCTACTTTATAGAAAATCACAAACACAATGGTCGTAGCACCAATCAAATTTTCATATTTGTAAAATAAAAGAAAGCACAAATAGTAATATTACTTTTCAAATAAAAAAAACATAATAAAGACATTCTCTTCTTAGGAATGAATATATATATATATATATATATACAATCAGATATATTTGTTTTCTATAATAAAATTCATAACATACCCTAAAATATGGAATCAAGTTCTTAACTTCTTCACAAACACGCACTTGAATTTCTTTATCTTCCATTTGGGGAGGCTCTTTAACTTTACCCTTCTTTTCTTTCTTTCCATTAGGGTTTTTCTTTTTAGGGGGAGGAAGAAGAGAAGGAGGAAGGGGTTGAGGTGCTTCCTTTGCTGCTTTTACTTTTTCCTCTTCTGCCTTTAAAGCTGCCAAATCAAGCTCCTTTTTCTCGGCACCTAAATGTCTTATGTAGATGGCATTGGAGATAGTTTCTTCAATACTTTTGAACACACTCTGAAAATGATTTCATATTTCTTACTAAAAAAATTCATGTGGGTATATGAATCCTATAAATAGTTCGAAAAAATATATTTGTTTTTGTACTTTTAAATATTATGTGGATACTTTTTTATTTATTTAAAAAAACTTACTAAAATACTATAATTTCAAGTAACTACCAACATTCTAAATGTTCATTTGATTTAAATTCCAATCATTTGTTTAAACTACTTAAACGACCATCCCAAAATAATAAAAATTAAACACCATCAAGTTATGTTTGTTGTTATTTTTTATACAAGAATGTTATTAACATAACTTGTTTTTGTTAGTTTGTTTGTATGTGTGTGTTTTGGTTTTAGTTTTTTTCTTTTTTATTTTTTTTATAATTTTTTTCATTATCATTCTCCCTTCTACTTTCCCTGGAATTCTAGTGCATAGTTTTTCATTGCGTTCTTTTTCAAAGAATCAAGGTAGAAGGGGACTAATGTTAGTCTCTCCATAATTCGATACAAATTCGTAAGCAAAAATAATACCTCATGCTTTGAAGTGTCAACTTCATGAAATAATTTAAGTTTGGGACTTAATATGACCTTAAAAGAAGGCACAATAATGTCTTCGAGGAAATGAAAAATCTGCAAATTTATGTTTTAGATGCAAATGGTATCACAATCAGGTTTGATTTGAACATTGGATTTAAATTACCCAATGAAGGCTGACTTTTGTAAGAGATGGTTTCTTTTCAATAAGCTTGAGCTGAGCACATTCATTTATTCTCAAAGTAAATAACTAATAAATAATTGATTGTTTTTGTGCATATAAGATTCTACAGCTAATGCAAGTAAATCAATATCTTAATAAACATGAAAACTGGGATAAATAAGATGTAATACCATTTCTGAAAAATTTGACAACTCTGGTGTAGATTTATATCCTGTATATAAATCTATGTAAACCCAACATAACTACAAATGAGTAAAATAAAAAAAAAATTAAAAAGAAAAAAAAGAAAAAAAACAGTTTTTAAATTATGCATGAGCACATTTTCATGACCTTGACATCAACCATTGAATTATTGAATTCTGTGTTTTTATACTAATAGTTGATATACATCAGTAATTTTCTGATAAGTATACTTAGACATGTCTGTTCATATATATATATATATATATATATACATACAAGTCTCAAGTAGAATGCTTTTTCAATGTAAATGATGTAACAACATTTAAAAAATAGTCTATGGTATCAACACAAACATGTGTCATGAATTGTTTACTAGAAATGATTTTGTGAGGGTGAGGGGGCACCGAGAGTGAGGTGCATTATGGCTGCATAGAATCCATATGCATTGAGCTGATAACATCCTTTAATTTGACCCACATCTTTCATTTTGTACCAAAGTGGATTTATCAATGAAGCTGCCATTGTCTCTATGTTATACACACACACATAGATTGTACTATATATGTATATATATATATATATATATATACATATATGAATGCATGTGTGTGTGTGCTCACACATGTGAGCTCTTTTTAGTAAATTAACAGAGATACTCAAATTTGAAAACACCTCATACATTGGTTATATATATAAGAATATATGTATATGTCTTATATTTTAAAATAATATTGGGGTAGTGAGAAGGACTAGATTTCTGAAGACAAAGGCAATAAAATGGATAGAGTAGTTGAATAAAAAACATCATAGTATCTGAGAATTTTATGTTTAAGTATATTATTGAAGGAATTTGGAAAAATAAGAGAATTATTATTATTATTATTATTATTATTATTTGAAGAAAACATGTTTTTTTTAAAAAATTCTTTTGTCAAGTAATAGATCAACTTTTTAGTATTATGCATCTAAACTTACAATCTAAAATATTTGTAGGAACATTTAATTCTTGCCATAGCTTTTGCCATTGTTGCTGTAAAAGACAACATTGCATTGATTATTACAACTCATAAAATTATTATTTTTTCTCATTCACACACACACACACACACACACACACACATATATATATATATATATATACACAAAC